TAGCGCACACCTGTAGTTCCAGCTACTTGGAAGGCTGAGGCGGAAGGATCCCCGGAGCCCAGCAGGTTGAGGCTGCGGTGGCCGGGAGCAGCCACTGCACTCCAGTCTGGGCGACAGAGTGAGACTCTAACTCAAAAAAAAAAAAAAAAGAAACTCAGTTTTATTAAGGTTAAGTTTTTTAGGCCAAGTGTGGTGTCTCATGTCTGTAATCCCAGCACTTTGGGAGGCAGAGGAAAGATGATTGCCTGAGCCCAGGGGTTTGAGATCAGCCTGGGCAATTTGGTGAGACCTCATCTCTACAATAAATCAAAAATTAGCTGGGTGTAGTGGCATGTGCCTGTAGTTTCAGCTGCTTGAAAGGTTGAGGCAGAAGGATCGCCTGAGCCCAGCAGGTCAAAGCTGTGGTAGCAGTGATCATGCCACAGAGTGAGTAACAGAGTGGGTAACAGTGAGATTTTGACTCCAAAAAATAACAACAGCAGCAGCAAAATAATAAATATTTTAGAGTTATGCCCTTTGAATGTTAAGATGCACATGCTTGGTGTCAGGCTAGACTTGTGCATTTAGCCTTTGGATTAGGCCTGTAGACTCTCCATTGCCTTAAAGTGCCCCCGAGGGGCTCTCAAAATAGTGGTAACCATGAATATTAAACCTGTGAATGTGGTAGTCCTGTATATCTGCAGGAATTACTCCCTTGATATCTTATTCTCTCACTCCTATATGTGTGTGTGTGTACATATATATAGTGTTGTCCTTGAGTACCTGCAGAGAATTGGTATCAGGACACCACTCCCCATACAAAAATCTGTGGCTGTTCAAGTCCTAAGTCCCATATATATAATGGTATAGTATTTGCATATAATGCATTCATACTGTATACTTTGTCATCTCCAGATTACTTATAGTACCTAATACAATGTAAATGTTATCTAAATAGTTGTTATACTGTATTTTTAAAATTTGTATTATTTTTAATTTTTATTTATTTATTTATTTGAGTTGGAGTCTCACTCTGTTGCCCAGGCTAGAGGGCAGTGGCACGTTCCCAGCACAACAGCCTTAACCTGCTGAAGTCAGGTGATTCTTTCACTTCAGCCTTCCAAGTAGCTGGAACTGCAGGCATGCCCAGCTAGTTTTCTGATTTATTGTGGAAATGAGGTCCTGCCAAGTTGCCCAGGCTGGTCTTGAACCCGTGGGCTCAGGCAGTCCTGTCACTTTGGCCTCCCAAAGTGCTGGGATTATAGGCATGAGCCACTGTACTCGGCCTCTATTTACTTTTTGAGTTGTAGTCTCACTCTGCTTCCCAGGCTGGAGTACAGTGTGGCACGACTGAGGCTCACTGCAGCCTCGACCTGGGCTTAGGTAATTCTTCTGCCTCAGTGTCCCAAGCAACTGGAACTACAGGCATGTACCATCATGCTTGGCTAATTTTTTTGTGTGTGTGTGGAGTTGAGGCTTCACTTTGTTGCCCAGGCTAGTCTCAGACTCCTGACTCCTGGGTTCAAGCAATCCTCCTGCCTTGGCCTCCCAAAGTGCTTGGATTACAGTTTTGAGCCACTGTGCTTAGCCTTATGTATTTATTTTTTGAATGCTTTTGATTGGTGGTTGATTGACTGTGAATGCAGTACTCAGGGATGTGAAAGACAGGCTGTCTGTATGTGTACGTGTGTGTGCATATATATATTTTTAAGAAGACACAATAATTTTAATTGTTTATCTAATAACAGAGCTTCAAAATACATGAAACAAAAACTGGTAGAACTGCAAGGAACAGGGACCAAACACACAATTATGTTTGAATATTTCAGTACCCCTCTTTCAATGGTTGACAGAAAAAACAGACAAAAAAATCAGAAGCATATACTAGACTTGAACAACACCCAACCGACCTGAGTGACATTTAACAGTGTATCCCACAGCAGCAGAATACTTATGTTCTTCAAGGGCACATGGAACATTTACCAAGATAGACCAAATTCTGGGCTATAAAATCTCTCTCTCTCTCTCTCTCTACACACACACACACACACACACACACACACACACACACACACACACACACTCTCACTCTTATAGCCCACAGACTTGTTTATTTCTTTTTTGTTTTGCTACCACTTTATTTTATTTATTTTTGTTTATTTAAAAAAAATAAAGATGTGGGGTACAATTCAGGGTTAGGTATAACAATGTTGATTATGCAGGTACCCTTGTTGATGAGGTATGCCCCTCACTCCCCTAGCAGTTTCCCTCAACTGCCAATCCCAACCCCCCCCTTTTTTTTTAACTGAATTTTCTTTCTAGCTCTTTGAGCAGATACCAGGAACATTTATAAAGATTTGAAAGATAGGAGGATGTACTGTGGGAACTGAGTGATTGGGGTCCTGAGGGAATGTTCATAAGATCTCAAAAAACCCACCGATGTCGTTATTTATATGCTGGCATAAGGTGATAATGTGGGTATAATTAATTTAGTGCATTAAATGAGAATTTTAGGGGTTTCTGTATAGGAAAGTCTAGATTTGTAAATTTACATTAGGGGAGGGGAGATTGTTCTGTAAAAAAAATACTATCTCCTGGAGCATTTCAGAAGTAACATGTCATCTTAAAAAATCCCTTACTCAGGACCCAGGCACAGTGGTAATAATGCCTGTAATCCCAGCACTTTGGGAGGCTGAGGCAGCAGGATCCCTTGAGGCCAGGAAGTCTGAGACCAGCTTGGGCAACAAAGCAAGACCTCAAAAAAATAGAAAAATTAGCCGGGTGTGTGGTACATGCCCGTAGTCCCAGCTACTTGGAAGGCTGAGGCAGATGGATCACTTGAGTTTAGGAGGTGGAAGCTGCAGAGAGTTGTCATCTCTGCACTCCAGCTGGGGTATCAGATTGAAGCTCTGTCTCAAAAAACAACAACAAAAAAATCCTTACTAGCCACCATGCCTGGCTACATTTTTTATTTTTTGTAGAGATGAGGTCTCACAATGTTGCTTAGGCTGATCTTAAATTCCTGGGCTCAAGCGTTATTTCCATCTTGGCCTCCCAAAGTGCAGGGATTACAGGCATGAGCCACCACGCCTGACTGCTCCTGACATTATTACCAGTACTTCTAAGATTTTCTTGATGCTGGCTTTTGAGTTGAGATTGTTTAATAGTATTTTATATTAAGGAAATTGGCATGGTGTTTGTTTTGAAATTTGAAAAGAAGTGAAATCTTAGAAAAGTTGCAAGGGCAGTCCAGTATCTTTTCTTGAGCCAATATGTGAATTGATAGAATATAGAAGCAAGTATAGTAGGGAAATGGGGAAGTAGTTAGTGGGTTGGGGACTGAGTCACAGTAAAGACTTCAGAGTATCAGAGACTGAAGTTTGAGAATCAGCCAGGATCGATGATGGTAGCAGAAATCCAAAACTAGCCAAAGAGGATAGAGAGAACAAAATTGGTAATTGATATTACTAATATTTTGAATGTTTGATTCCATTGATTAGATTATTCTATTAAAGTCATTTTAAGGAGTGCATAAAATTTTATGCCAAAGCCTTGCTTGACCTAACAAGCTGGGCTGTCATTTGCTTGCTTTTGACAAGACTTTCATTTTTATCAGCTTTAAATGCATGTTTCATTACTATTCTGCTTAGTTAACATAATTATCTAATTGTAGAATATATAATTTCAAAAGGGTATTGTGGATACTTGATGCCTTTTTCTCTATATATACTATTGAATTGCTTTCAGACTACTTTCAATTATTTCAGTAAGGTAAAATGTAATCCTTCTATTGATTGTAATGTAAATTTTAGGAGCTCTTGGAAATTAAACCAAAAACATAGTACTACCTACATCTTAGGGTTATAAGAAGCTTGCTAAGTTGGATTTGATGTTCATTGTGGTACTGAATAAGTAGAAATTAGTCTCATTCAAAACTAAGTAAAATAAAGTTTGATGGCTCACTCACTAAATTGTAGTTGGATAATTCCCATAATTCCTTAGAGATAAAGTCATCCTTAAATGTAAAGTTCTTACTTCATAATAAAAAAAAAAGTAAAGTTCTTGTTTACTTAAATAGGAGGCATTGTGGATATATAAATAACCTTGTTCTTTGTCTTAGTGTGTTAATATAATAGAAGGGGTGGTAGTACATGTGAGAAAAGTGAAATTAATAGCTATTCTTGAGGGCCCTTATTGACTCTATGGTATTCTGAGTTACTGTAACAAGTTAGTGTTGGTAACATAGTTTCAATTCCTTAAGTGGACGGTAGTATTTCCATTCTGTAAGTCTTTTTTGTTATTTTGGAGAGAGCTCTTTCTTGCCCCTCTGCTTTACTGAAAATAAAAGTTGTTTACAGTTTGTTTTATGTTAAAATGTAGCGTTTTAATATTTCTTTGGGGCAGCAGGAATGGGCAGGAGGCCATTGTGTCTGATTTTCCTTTTCCGACTTCCGCTTTCTTTGTTCCTGAGTATTACATTTCCTAAAAGGGGTGATACAAAGGGTGGGGATCGAGAAAAGGGAGTAATTTATTGTTTGTAGAAGAGGTCTAGGATAAGGTCACTTAAGACAAGGAATCTCTCATAAAATACAAATTGAAGCTTTTGCAAGGGGTTTATAACTGATGTTGCTTTTCCCCTTTCACTGTTTTATGAAAAAGAAATCCTCTGGATGGCATAAAAGACCAGCACTTTAGCAAACTATACACCTTTCATTTAGCTTGGTAGTTGTAGATTGTGCTCTTAGAGGCCATGGATTACAGAGTTGTAAAATCCCTTGTCTGAAGTAATATGCATATAGAGACACCCCCTCTCCTTTTTATTAAATTAAGCCTTTTTTTCCCTTCTCGTAGTCAATGCTGTTTTGTGGTTGTTGTTTTTTTTACATATTTTGTGACAGATATGTAAAGGAAATATTTTTGCATCTAATTGTTCTAACTTTCAAAGATTCTTTCCTCAGTTGAATTTTTTAAGAAAAGTATATTTGTTCTAAACTGAATTTTGTCTTTCTCTCCCTTACTCAGGCCCAGATTGCCTTTCTTCAGGGGGAAAGGAAAGGTCAAGAAAATTTGAAGAAGGATCTTGTGAGGAGGATCAAAATGTTGGAGTATGCTCTTAAACAGGAAAGGTAATTCCATAAAATAAAAGATAGTATTCTGTTCCTAAAATAAATTTGCACATTTTGATACTGTATACTCTTAAATTCAGGAAGGTCTGTAGTAAACATTGTTATGAATGGTTGTAATATATTAATTTTATTATTATTAGCTTAGTAATGGTCTATATATAAACTGATTTGTATGCTTTAAACAATTTCACTATTTTTATTCTACCCTGTCCTTTTTTAAGAAACATGTACTTCCTGAACTATCAATACCCTTTTCTTTTTAAAGTTGAAATAGTTTTTGAATTGTAAAGCAAATTTGTATAATGCTTACTCCTTTTTCCTGTCTTCGGATATTCTATTTGATGTATTCTCTTCATTTTTTAAGAAAAAAAATTCTTTATTAGACCATGTTGACAATCCAGTAGAGTTTTTTTTTGGTATTGTGTTCCTTTGCTATCAGTTGTTCCAATCTCTCCAGAAGCGAATCTTACCTTTCTATTTTACTAGTGTCTAAAATACTCAAGTAACAAATTTAGGTTACAAGTAAAGGAAAATAGGTCATGAACGAGAGTTTTGAAAGTTATGGGTTAAGTTTATTTGCTTTAATAGATAGTCTTTGGATTTTTTTTGTTGATGGTCTGAGGCAGTTCTGTTTTTGGATAGTTGAATACCTGATAGGTGGTCTTAGAGTTATCTATTTTGCTATTTTTTTGCTTGTTGGTGAGTCGGCTGCTTGCAAAACTACCATAAAACAAAGCATTTAGATGTTATTAGACAAATAGATATATATACATATCAAAAATAGATAAAACTTTATTAGAACCTGTGTTCACCTTTATATATGATCATTAAATGGCACAAGAGATTGAAAACAGATAGACCTCTTAGTGAATAGGTATTTCTTTTCATACCTTGAGAGTTTGATTGAAAGCTGTATTGGAGAGATGGAAAGAAAAACATTTTTTAAAGCACATGCTTTGGGAGTATTTGAGATTTTAAACTGTCTAAATTGTAGGCTTAACCAAAGAGAGCAGATAATAATATTAACCTTTTGCACTTGGAGTCATCTCATGAATCGCTTACCAGCAATTTGACTGTACTTTTTTACGGAATAGTGAAACATGAATTACTTCACATTAATAGTGTAACATTGGAACCAGTTATTTTATTGTAATGATATTTGACTTGTAATAGAATTTTGGGCATTGAGAACCTTATAAAAATTTTATTTCTTTTTCTAGTGTGGGGTAACGTGTGAAGCAGTCACCGACATGCATTGCAGGTTCTTTGATACATGTTGTGTAATAGCAGTTTATTTGACATCCTCCACCTGATGTTTTTCCATTCAAGCAGACAGTGAAGTCTCGTCCTCTTCCTTTCACATTAATAATATGTCATTTATTTTCCAGTCTGTTGTTTGAAGATGATGTGTAAGGATGCACTCGTGGCTCCTGAACACCACTTCTCAACTGATCAATCATATCTCAGTATATATTCCATCTTTTTATTTGCTTTTTCATGCAATTTGAATGGAAAACTTCAAGGAAACATACATTTTTTAAAAATTTACGCTGCATAAGTTTGTCCTGTATGATCACTAGCAGTCTCTTTATAGCCCATGTGAGGGGACATCCAAGTAGTTTGCTAGATTTACAGTATCCTCTCAGAGGGGACATTTGAGTGCAAAGTGTTTTAAAATGGCAACTATTTATTGAGTAGCTACTGTGTATTGGACACTGAGACTTAAAAATTAAGTAATTTGGATAGAGTAGCACAGCTGTAGTAGAGCTTAGATTCAACTCTGTGTGATTCTGAAGCCCATGTTCTTTACCAGTACATTATGCTAACTAATAAGAAAGGAGACTTAAAACATATAAATACTAAAGTAACCAGGGATGGTGTGTGTGTGTGTGTGTGTGTGTGTGTGTGTGTGTGTGTGTGTGTGTGTGTGTGTGTGTATCCAGACTTGTAAGCCACAAAAGAGCAGTGAAGATTGACAAGTGCTGTGGTAGAAGTCTGTAAAGAGTACGGTGAGATTACAAAAAACAGAATGGTTATTACCATGTGGAAGTTGGAAGTAGAAAAGAGGGCACAGTTAGAGAATGTGAAGCTTGAACAGCATCAAATAAGAAGGTGCTAGACAGACAAGATGCAGGAAGTAGAGAGAACATGTTGGCATGGAACAAAGCAGTTTGTTGTGTTTAGAAATTTGTAATCGTTGTATATGGTGAGTAGACTGTTGACAGAATGCTAGAGGGGGCAAGAGTCAGATCATGGAGAGACTAACCAAGGAGTTCAAACTTTTATCTTGCACATAACAGAGAATATGGAAAGTTTTCCAAAAAAAATTTCTTTTGGGCACAGTGGCTCACACCTGTAATCCCAGCACTTTGGGAGGTGGAAGCAAGAGGATTGCCCAAGCCCAGGGGTTCAAGACCAGCCTAGGCAACTTGGTGAGCCCTCGTCTCTACAATAACAACCTGCCCCCCGAATTTTTTATTCTAAAATAATCTCAAGCTAATAGAAGAGTTGCAGGAACTATGGTCTATCCTTTTCCCCAGTTCACCAGTGAACAACACCTTGCTATGTTGGCTTGATCACGCTTACACTGATGTGTAATCTGAAACATAAATGTAGAGATACTAGTATCATTTGTACACAGGTTTTAATAATTAATGTTTTTGTCAGTCTTTTTTCACTTTGATCTATTGTAAAGCAAATACCAGACATTCTGTAATTTACCTGTAAACATCCAAGTAAAGATCACGGTTTTACATGATTTTCTTTGCATGATTTTTGCAGATTTTTAAAGCAGTTTCACTTTAAGATTCAAAATTAAATAGAATGAGATCTTTAACATTACAGAGGGATTACTCACCTAATAGTAAATTTTTCAAAATATTCCTTAATGTTTGATAAAATTTATAAGATGAGCAATTTTTAATTCAATTTTTCAAGAATACACAGTGTATAATCTGAGACTTATTTGGAAATATCTGTATTGAGGAACCTCACCTATAAAATATGGTTCTGAAACATTTCTCCCATTCTCCCATTTCTCTCTATTCACTGTCACCTTTTAAAACAAACTATACTACTTTAGTAATCCAACTGTTCACCTTACATTTAGTATTTCCATATTCTAATTCATTTTCCATGCCCATAGGATTCGTTTTCTGAAACATAAATATGATAATCCTGTTGTATTCTTGCTTAAAAATATCTGGCTAATTTCTAAGTTCTTCTTTGTAAAATCCTTTGTGACCAGGCCCTTTCTATCCCTTCTCTGACTCCATTCCTTCCATAGCTTCAGACCTTTTGGATACTACTGTTTGCTGTTTTTTGGCCTACTGTGTATTTTTTTTGTTTTTCTCTCACCTTTAGATATTCCTTCTGACCGAAATACTCTGACTGGAAAACTCCTACTAGGTTTTTGAGATTTAGCTAGAATCTTTAGCTGTTATCTTCTTTTCAGTAGCTTTCTTTGACACCAACTTTGACAGACTTAGATAATCCCTTATCTACATTCTTGTAACACTCGATATATCCCTTACAGCTCTTACCACAGTGTGTTCCAGTTATTTATATTCCTGTCTCTTAGGCATGCCCGTGCCCTTCACCCTAACCTGACTGCAAACTGTAGGCTTTTTGTTATTGTTGTTGTTTTTTAGAGACAGGGTCTTGCTATGTTGCTCAGGCTGGTTTTGAACTCCTGGCCTCAAGCAATCCTCCTACCCCAGCCTCCTAATTTGCTGCCATTACAGGTGTGAGCTACTGCACCTGGCCCAAACTAGGTTATTCCCAGCAGCCAGCCAGTGCCTTGCACATCATAAGAATTTAATTATTGTTCATTTACTATAATCCCAGCACTTTGGGGACCAAAACGAGAAGATTGCCTGAGCCTGGGGTTCAAGACCAGCCTTGTCTCGACACTAAATCAAAAAATTAGCTGGACATGGTGGCACGTACCTGTAGGAAGGCTGAAGTAGAAGGATTGCCTGACCCCAGTAGGTCCAGGCTGCAGTGGCCGTGAGTATGCCACTGCACTTGAGCCTGGGCAACAGAGTGAGATGACAACTCAAAAAAAAAAAAAAATAGTTCATTGAAATTAACTAAATTATCTTTAACATCAACATTTAAGATGTGAGTGGGGTGCTATGTTATATTCCTGGCACAATATGTATAGTAGTAGGCTTTGGAACAAAATTGGATGAGACTTCTTTAGTGTATCATAATTGTTGAACAATTTTATTGCTCTTTTAAAGTAAATTTATAGCCATTTAGGGAGACTTAGCTATGTATTAAATATGGAGTTATTAGACATGAGATCTGTTTATTTGTCTTCTAGTCAGAAATAGACAGAAAAGCAATAGTGAACAAGAAAGATTAGTAACAGTGAGCTGAAGTGTTAAAACATTGGGATACAATATGAGTGAGAAGGTATTTTCACATATTGGCTTCAAAAAGAATGCTTTTAAGCTTGAGCAAGTTTCTGTGAGAAAAATATTTGTTACCAAATTTAACCATTAATAGGGAGAGCTTGGTTTTTTGTTTGTTTTCTTTTTTGAGTTGGAGTCTCACTTTGTCGCCCAGACTGGAGTGCAGTGGCCCCTCCTGGCCACCGCAGCCTCGACCTGCTGGGCTCCAGCGATCGTTCTGCCTCAGCCTTCAAGTAGCTGGAACTACAGGCGTGTGCTACCACGCCCGGCTAATTTTTTATTTATTGTAGAGATGAGGTCTTGCCAAGTTGCCCAGGTGGGTCTCGAACCCGCCGGCTCAGGCAGTCCACTCACCTCAGCCTCCCAAAGCGCGGGATTACAGACTTGAGCCACCGAGCCCGGCTTTTTTTTTTTTTTTGAGTTGGAGTCTCACTCTGTCACCCAGACTGGAGGGCAGTGGCACACTCCTGGTCACTGCAGCCTCGACCTGCTGGTATCCAGCAATCCTTCCGCCTCAGCCTTCTTTTTTTTTGAGTTGGAGTCTCACTCTGTTACCCAGACTGGAGTGCAATGGCCGCTCCCGGCCACCGCAGCCTCGACCTGCTGGGCTCCGGTGATCCTTTCGCCTCTGCCTTCCAAGAACTACAGGTGCGCGCTACCACGCCCGGCTGATTTTTTGATTTATTGTAGAGATGAGGTCTTGTCAAGTTGCCCAGGTGGGTCTCGAACCCGCCGGCTCAGGCAGTCCACTCACCTCAGCCTCCCAAAGCGCGGGATTACAGACTTGAGCCACCGAGCCCGGCTTTTTATTTTTTTGAGTTGGAGTCTCACTCTGTCACCCAGACTGGAGGGCAGTGGCACACTCCTGGTCACTGCAGCCTCGACCTGCTGGTATCCAGCAATCCTTCCGCCTCAGCCTTCTTTTTTTTTGAGTTGGAGTTTCACTCTGTTACCCAGACTGGAGTGCAATGGCCGCTACCGGCCACCGCAGCCTCGACCTGCTGGGCTCCGGTGATCCTTTCGCCTCTGCCTTCCAAGAACTACAGGTGCGCGCTACCACGCCCGGCTGATTTTTTGATTTATTGTAGAGATGAGGTCTTGTCAAGTTGCCCAGGTGGGTCTCAAACCCGCGGGCTCAAGCAGTCCACTCACCTCAGCCTCCCAAAACGTGGGATTACAGACTGAGCCACCGAGCCTGGCTTTTTTTTTTTTTTTTTTGCGTTGGAGTCTCACTCTGTCACCCAGACTGGAGGGCAGTGGCACACTCCTGGCCACTGCAGCCTCGACCTGCCAGTATCCAGCAATCCTTCCGCCTCAGTCTTCTAAGTAGCCAGAACTACAGGCGCGTGCTACCACATCCGACTAGTTTTTGCTTTTTATTGTAGAGACAAGGTCTCACTAAGTTGCCCGGGTGGGTCTGGAACCGTGGGCTCAGGCAATCTACTCGCCTCAGCCTCCCAAAGTGCTGGGATTACAGACTGAGCTACTGAATCCAGCCAAGGGAGAGCTTGGTTTAAGAAGCAATAGCTAGCAGGGCTTGGTGGCTCAGCCTGTAATCCCGCACCTTTGGGAGGCTGAGGTGAGTGGATTGCCTGAGCCCGCGGGTTCGAGACCCGCCTGGGCAGTGAGACCTCACTTCTACAATAAATCAAAAAATTAGCTGGGCGTGGTAGCGCATGCCTGTAATTCCAGCTACTCGGAAGGCTGAGGCGGAAGGATAGCCGGAGCCCGGCAGGTAGAGGCTGCGGTGGCCGGCAGCAGCCACTGCACTCCAGTCTGGGCAACAGAGTGAGACTCCAACTCAAAAAAAAAAAGAAGTCATAGCTTATGGCAGACACAGCCGTTCTGCACATATTTCATCTTTGTCTAATTTTTAATGAAATATTGATTAATAATGTATTATTATTGTTACATTTATTTTTGTAGACTGTTTTCTATTTCCTTTTTAGTAAATTCTGTTGTAGTTTTTCCTAAGACCACTAGAATGCACTATAATGCAGTATTTTGTGTTTGCCTTTTTTTGCATATATATAAAAATATAAATGCCATAAACTTTTATTGCTACTATTATTTTAAAAGCTTTACCATTGTCTGCCCTCAGCTTAGTTATATTCGGTTGTTACTTTGATTTCTAGGAGGTATTAGTACTTTGTCTTATGGCAAATGAAATATGTTTTTGGAAAAGTAAAAGGTAGACATTTACACTTAAGAACCTTTTGCCTGTGTATGAAATGTTTTACTTTCTGGCAACTGAAAGTCAAATTAATGTCTGTAAATCTTACCCTCTAATAATCACCATTAGTACAAATACATTTAAAAAGATTTGGGCACATTTAGTTCAGTGATAAAATCTTTGTGATTAAGAGACATGGGAATATGTATTCTAATAATTTGAACCAAACATACTTACAGAAAATTAAAAATACATACATATGTATATATACACACACATATAGTTAATTAACCAAATAACAACAAAAATAGTCTCCCTTTTGCTTCCGTTTGCTAGTTTTCCTTCCCAAGGAAATCGTATTAACTGATATATATTATTCCAGAAATATTCTGTGCATATTATATATATACCATACGCATAGAATATATATATGTCTTTTCTTAAAATGTATGTAAGGTATGCAGGCATATCGTACACAGTATTTTGTGCCTTTTAGTTTTCACTTAAGGTTGGAGATTAGTTCGTATGAGTATTCTTTTTTCCTTTTTAATGGAAACATGTTATTACAAAACATACATACATATATGATATAACAACGAATATAAAAAATACTCATGTACCCACCACCTACCTTAAGAAATATGACATGGGCTGGGCTCAGTGGCTCAACCTATAATCCCAGCACTTTGGGAAGCCGAGGTGAGTGGATTGCCTGAGGCTGCGGGTTTGAGACCAGCCTGTGCAAGTTGGCAAGTTCTCATCTCTACAATAAATAGAAAATTAGCTGGGTGTGGTAGCACATGCCTGTAGTTCTGGCTACTTGGAAGGGTGAGGCAGAGGGATTGCCGAAGCCCAGCAGGTCAATGTTGGGGTGGCCGTAAACATGTCACTGCATTCCAGCCTGGGCGACGGAGTGAGACTCTAACTCATTTAAAAAAAAAAAAAGAACTATGACATGAACTGCCTTTAGTTTTCATAGGTGTTTTAAGATTCCCCTTTATATACACCTTTTTTTTCTGTTGTTACTGCAGAATAATTCTAGTACTTTCCACATTTGAACATATATAATTGTTCATTTCCTTTATATTTAAGTTATTTTTAAAAACCTACAGTAAGTCTCAATTAGGTGGTTTGTTTGGTTTTTTTTAGTTGGAGTTTCACTCTGTCACCCCGTCTGGAGTGCAGTTGGCATCCTGCTCACATTCACTGCAGCCTTGACCTTCTGGGCTCAGGCAATCCTTCCGCCTCAGCCTTCCAAGTAACTGGAACTATAGTCATGTGCCACTACGCCTGGCTAATTTTTTGATTTATTGTAGAAATGAGGTCTTGCCAAGTTGCCCAGGCTGAATGTGTCTTGAGCTTGTGGGCTCAAGCAGTCCTCTCACCTCAACTTCCCAAAGTGCTGGGATTATAGGCTTGAGCCACTGAGCCTGGCAGATTTTTGTTGTTTATGTTATTAACCCAGTCTTAACACATTAAATGTTTTGGGAAGCAAACAAGTAAAAATAGGGAAATACATTAAACAGGTATGGCCATTTTTAGTTAACCCTTTTCAAATTTCTACCTTATCTGGGTTATTTTTCTGATCCCGGATGGTTAAACCTAAGTTGGTTAAGTCTTATTAACGTTTGGTTAACTTTTAAAAGAAAATAGACAATATTCCCATTCACAGTTCTTTCTGAGTGAAAGACAAAGACATCTTGACTAGTAAAAGAAAAAAATGTTCATTCCTCCTGGAATATCTTATTTTACATTGATAATTTGGGCTGAGTTTCCTCCCTTGGATTGTTCACTGTAATGCATATTTCGCAAATTATTATACCTGATAAGGCACAGATTATTGCAGATGACTTTTCTTTTTTAAAAGCTCAATTTTGAGGTCAGGCGCGGTGGCTCACACCTGTAATCCCAGCACTTTAGGAGGCAGAGGCAAGAGGATTACCTGAGCCTAGGGGTTCGAGACCAACCTGGGCAACTTGGTGAGACCTCGTCTCTACTATAAATAAAAAAATTAGCTGGGTGTGGTGGCACGCACCTGTATATCCAGCTACTTGGAAGGTTGAGGTGGAAGGATTGTCTGAGCCTAGCAGGTTGAAACTGTGGTGGCCATAATTGTGCCACTGCACTCCAGCCTGGGCAACAAAGTGAGACTCTCACTCAAAAAAGAAAAAAACTCAATTTTGGGAAGTTTATTTACAGCTTTATTTCAAAATCCAAACCTTTTCTACTGCTTTTCCTGGTAGAATTCAACCATAGCAGTCATCAAGAATGTTTGAATACTAAAGAAACTAGAATGGATCATTTGTAATTTATAGAAAGAAGAGTTATGATTCCCAGACTTATTCCTTAATTTTGTTATCATGACACTCAATGGTATAAGAACAGCCACATCAAAGGCAAATGCTTTTGTATCTTGACTTAGATACCTTGGAGGAAGGCTATGAGCCTTTGAAAGTTCTCAGAGTGTTCAGCCAGGATTACTGAATACTGATGACTACTACTATTACATATGTTAAAGTTTATTTAAATGTATTTTAAGATGGTTTGTATTTTCTCATTTCTTTGTAGAGCCAAATACCACAAATTGAAATATGGGACCGAATTGAATCAGGGAGATATGAAGCCTCCAAGCTATGATTCTGGTAAGCTAATTTTAAAGGAAATTTAAGTGATGAAAATAAGTGAATGTCTAGTATTTTGTAGCAGCATCATTTGTAATTGTAAGTTAATTTCTGATTATTACTTTTTTCTGGCCTGCGTGTCTTTTGGCACTAATCCTTTAGTGTCATTCAGATCGTTTTCTACCACCTTCCTTCCTTCCCCCTCTTCCCCTTTCTTTTAGTTCCTCATTTTCTGCTTATGTTCTACACTTACTGGAAGAATCAGAATTCATGGGGTAACATGCCAACATAACCTTGTCTTGCTGGGTCTGCCCAGCATTAATGGGAACTTTGAGATGTGCAGTACAGAGTACATCATGCCCTTGAAATCCTTAGAGGATAGGAACTGTGGAGGTAAGAGATCTCTTCTTGGAGCTCCAGGGAATTCCTAATCCCCTAAGCCTAATTCTTCAGTTTCAGACGCAAAACTATTTTGGACTTTCTTACCCATAGAAGTTTCTATAACCAGAACATGTTTTAACAGCTAAACATCTATTATCTTTTTGTGTTATTCTTTTTTTTCTTCTTCCACTTTCCACTTCATACTACCAAATGATACAAAATAGTACTTACAAGTAATCAGATAATAAGGAATATAGATGTAATTCACTTATTCATGGGTATAAAGGAAAAGTGAGAAAAATTGTTCAAATGTTATCATCATGTTTAGATAAGAGTATTTTTGGAATAATTTCAGATTAAATTTCTTGATCAAATATCTGAAAATATTAACAATCATTTGTATGATTTTTAAAAATATCTACCTTGTGCTAAAGGTTTTTATGTATATATCAACTTTAATTCTTAAAATAGTTACCCAGTAAAGGTAATGTAAAGATATTTTCATTTTACATATGATAAATTTAATCTCAGAGAAGTGGAGAAACTTGGCCAAAGTCACACAACTGTTAAGTAAGGAACTGAACCCAGTTCTGACTCCAGAATTTATTTTCTTCCCATTTTATGTCACTGCTTCTGTATTTTGACAGTGTATGAAAAATCTTGCCAAAATGAGTTCTAAATGTACTGCCAACTTTATGGTTAGTTCAATGTAGTAATATATTAATGTGCTTACTCAGCTGAATATTAAATTCTTGAGATTTAGAACAATGCCAGTTGATCGTTGTATTTTTACCTTCTTTTAAAAAAGAAATTATTCTTTTATTGAGGTGTCAATCCTTTTAATCTGAGGGGTGCTTAAATCTCAAAATAAAAAAATTATTTAAAAATCTAGGCTATTTGTTAAAAGCTGTCCTAAAATATATTGTCTGATTCAGAGGAGTTATTTTAATCAGTATTACTTTTAAAAGTTTCCATTTCTTAAGTCTTAGATATCAGTTTAGGATTAAAAAGGCTTAGTGGTGATATGTAACATGATTAGGTGCAATGGCTCCCACCTGCACTTCCAGCACTTTGGGAGGCAAGGCAGGAGGATCACTTGAGGCCAGGAGTTCGAGACCATTTTGGGCAACATAGTGAGACCCTGTCTCTACAAAAAAGAAATAAAAACTGACCAGATGTGCTGTCTCATGCCTGTAGTCCCAGCTAATTAAGGGGCTGAAGTGGAAGGAATGCTTGAGCCAAGAGTTCGAGGCTTCAGTGAGCTGTGGTCATGCCACTGCACTCCAGCCTGGGCAACAGAGTGAGCTCTCTCTCTTAAACAACACACAAAAAATGTTCACAAATGCACTCCAACCTGGGCGACAGAGTGAGCTGTCTCTCTTAAACAAACAAACAAACAAACAAAAGTTTATAAGTGAACAGCATGGCTCAGTAGAAAGACCTTGGGCTTTAAAATCAGATAGGTTTAAGTTTGACTCTTCTGTGACACTTTAAATCCCTGTTATATTACTTAATTTCTCTGGGGTTGCTCCTTTCCTGCTCTGTAAACTAGGAGATATTCTGAGAATAATTCTTAACCCTAAGGTTTATTTTCATAGTATACAATACCTAGTTAGTACCTACTATCATTCCATCTATGTCTTTCCAACCATCCAGTTATCTTACAAATATTAAATACATGTTTGTCAGATAATGAAATAATAATGCCTTGTTGGATTTTCACAGGGAAGATCGACAGTAAAAGAAGTGTTTACAATAAAATATGGCAGGTATAGTGAGAAGTAATAAGTATTATTGAGCACAGCAGCACAAATCTAGTCTTAAGTGGTCAAGAAAAGCATCCTAGAGGAAGTGATGTTTAACTTTGATATCTGAAGGATAGTAGAAATTAGCCAAAGTAGACTGACTAAATATTTGCTGGTGGTGGGGGAAAAGCAGAGTATTAGCAGCAAAGCTTCTGAGATGAGACTAGCACATGTGAAAAATGACATCCCTGGATGGCATGGGAGAGAGGAAGGAGTGTTTCAGGACGCAGCTAGGGAGCTAGGCAGGGGTAAAGCATGTTGAGGAGTTCACACTCAGGAATATTGTAGGAGTGATGAGAAAGAAATTGCAGGATCTTACTTAGGGTTTTGTGATTAGATTTGCTCTTAGATCACTGCAGTATGGAAGGTGAATGAGAGAGGAGTAGAATTGGAGACAGGGAGGCTAGTCAGAGGACTGCAGCCACCTGGGCAAATGAAGAAGGTTTCCTTAACAAGGACGTGTTCAGGAAATATTTAGGAAGTAAATTCTGCAGGAACATTTTTTGTAAATGTAATTTTATGCTAATCTCTGCATCATTCCAATTTTAGTATATGTGCTGCTGAAGTGAGCCCAAGAACCAGTTCTTGTTTGGATATAGGGAGTGAAAAAAAATGACAAGTCAAAGATGACACCCACATTTATAGTTTAAACAACTAGACCAGAAGCAGGTTTGAAAAATGGTAGGCTCACGTTTAGATTTGTTTCTTGAGTAACCAAGTAAAGATGACTAGTAGACAATTGGAAATATGGACCTAGATAGAGCTCAAGTCATGGGTTAGATGGGTTAGATGCATATACCTGAGAGGCATCAACATGTGGTATATTGATGACATTCAAAGTCTGGAGTTGAAGAAGGGACATAAAATGGAGTCATGAGGCATGGCAGCATTTGGAAGACTGGTAGAGGGAGAGAATCATGGTAGGGAAATTGATGAGGACTTCATTAATGTAGAAGGACAAACAAGAGAGTGGGAACCAAGAGAAGAGAGGTTTCCAGAGGAACAACTGTTCAGCACTAGGGTTTGGTTCCCAGAGGGCTGGAGACCATCTCTAGGATTTAGTGACACTCAGGTTACTGAGAACTTTATTGCAAGCAGTGCAGCAGAGAGGTGAGGGCAGAACAAAGACTGAGTGTAGTCAACTTTCAGGAAGTTTAGTTTGTGATGGTGAAGGAGAGGAATGAGAGGGCAGTAGCTGGAAGGACACTTAGGGTCAAGGAAAGTATGTGTGTGTGTGTATGTGCATGAGAGTGATGTGTTTCTTAGAGGAGGAGATATTCTGAGAATAATTCCTAACTCTAAGATTTATTTTCGTAGTATACAACACCTAGTTAGTACCTAGCATCATTCCATCTATCTGTCTTTCCAACCATCCAGTCATCTTTCAAATATTAAATACATAATGCTTGTCAGATAATGAAATAATAATGCCTTGTTGAATTTTTACAGGGAAGATAGACAGTAAAAGAGCAGAGATACTAAAATGGGAAGGTATCTGAAGAAGTGATGGGGACTGGATTCCGAACATAGTTGGAGAATGGCAGGAGGAGTATGTCTTATTGTAGAAGTTAGGCAACAGCTTTAGCTTTGGGTTTTCAGTTTGATAGTGGGTATTTAAGAGAATGTCCCTATATATTCATGTTATGTATGAAATAGGATTATCTGCTGAGAGTGGATCAGACGTTTAAGAAAAGTAGAGGAAGTTTAAAATACTGATGGTGAACAGGAGAACAAGCTGGCAAGGGAGTAGTAGGCCTGAGAACAGCGAAAGGTCCAGTTGAGGATGTGATCATGAGTGTATGCAGAGGCACTGATGAGCACATTTGGTAGCCTGGGTAAAGTCAGAGAGAATGAGTATAGTTAATAGATGAATTTGTCCAATTCATGAAGTGACAAGAGACGTAAACATTGAATGGTTGAAGTGCTGGCCGGGCGCAATGGCTTACGCATGTAATCCCAGCATTTTGGAAGGCAGAGGTGAGAAGACTGTCTGAGTCCAGGGGTTTGAGATCAGCCTGGGCAATTACAATAAACCAAAAAATTAGCCAGGCATGGTGGTGCATGCCTGTAATTCCAGCTACTTGGAAGACTGAGGCAGAAGGATAACTTGAGCCTAGCAGGTGGGGACTGTAGTAGCTGTGAGCATGCCACTGCCCTGCAGCCTGGGTGACCGAGTGAGACTCCAACTCAAAAGAAAAAAAGAATGGTTGAAATGATAAGTCATGAACTAAAACTTGGGAGAACAAAGTGAACACAAAAGGAAATAAGTTAAATGTAAGAGGTTCTGGTTTAGAGCAAGCAAGTAGGCTTATTTTGTAAAGGGCCAGATAGTAAATATTTTGGGTTTTCCAGGCCATATGTTCTATGTCGCAGCCACTCTACTCTGCCATTGTCACATGAAAGCATTCATAGACAATGCATAGATGAATGAGCATGTCTGTGTTCCAGTAAAACTTTACAAAACTGGGTGGCAGACTGGATTTTACCTGAGGGTGATAGTGTGCTGGCCTCACCTAAATTAGAGAACTATGAACTTAGGGGGCGGGGGGAAACAACAAAAACAAAAATTAGTGAATTGGGAATAATTGAGCCTGAAGGATATGCTCAGAAAGTGAGTTTGCACCTGTAACAGTTCTTCATGACACTAAGTTAGATCAGCTAGAGAGGGTGGTGATTGTGGAGAGGCCTACATGAATATTTGTTTCACTCAGGTTGATGTAGAAATCTGGTTACAAAGGAAGTGTGTGAGCCAGGCTTGGAGAGTTATCAAGGGATTTGTAGATGACAGTAGTAAGGACATTATGATGAGGACTAGGAATGTTGGAAGGTGGTATGTCCAAAGTTCACAAACCTTAAAGAAGCAGGAATTTTTTTCTTTCTTTGTTCTTTTATCCACTTACTGTATTTTCCTTAGACTGATAATCCAGACATTTTTCTGAAACATTTTTCCACAAAAATTTTCTTTTCCTCTCTAATTCTTTTTTCTGTTGTGTTCCTCTTCCAAACATTCATATTTCTACTTTAGGAGAATATTATCTCAGGCTGTGTTAGAAATCTATTTTTCTTTGATAATTCAGTTTCTCCTATTTAATATAAGAAGCAAGATAGTTATTTTATTTTATTATTTTGAGTTGGAGTCTCACTGTTGCCTAGGCTGGAGTGCTGTGGCACACTCACAGCCACCCCAGTGTCAACCTGCTGGGCTCCTGAGATCCTTCTGTCTCAGCCTTCCAAGTAGCCAGAACTATAGGCATGTGCTGCCATGCCCAGCTAGTTTTTTTATTTATTGTAGAGACGAGGTCCGAGGTCCTGTCAAGTTCCCTGGACTGGTCTCCAATCCGCGGGCCCAGGCAATCCACTCGCCTCGGCCTCCCAAAGTGCTGGCTTTACAGGCTGAGCCACCGAGTCCAGTCATATTGAAAGTTGAATATTTTTATCCAATGTGACAAATTCTACCTTTTAATTGTGATGTTTTAGAGCACTACCTTTATCATGGTTACTGACATGGTTAGGTTTAACTCCATCTTTGTGGTTGGTTTCCTTTTGTTCACTCTGGGCTTTGTTCTATTTTCCTCTTTTTTCAGCATTCTTTTGTATTTTTTATGATTCCATTTTATCTCTTTTACTGACTTATTAGCAGTAACTCTTTATTATTTTAGGGGTTGCTTTAGAGTTTACAGGGCACATCTTTAGCTTATCACAGTCTGTCTTCAAGTGATAATATACCAGTTTGTGTACAGAATGAGAACCTTGGAACAGTGTAGTTTCATTTGTCTTCTTCCAGCCTTTGTGCTATTGTTGTCATATATTTTACTTCTATGAATGTTATAAACCACATGTTGCATTGTTAGTATTTTTGTTTCAGCAGTTTATTGTCTTTTAAAGAAATTGAAACAATACTATGAGAAAAATATCTCCTGTGCCCATCATTCCTTTGTGTAGATCTGTATTTCCACTTGGTATCCTTTCCTTCAGCCTTGAAGTCTTCCTTTAACATATCTTGAGATAGAGACTGCTGGTTATGAATGTTTTCAACTTTGTGTCTGAAAAAACCTTTATTTAGCTCACAGACATTATTTCTGGTGAGATATCTGACTCATCCTTATCTTCGTTCTTCTGTATATAATATGAGCTGCTTCTCTGACTGCTTTTAAAATTTTCTCTTTATCATTTGTTCTAAACAACCTCCTTAAAATATGCTGTGGCAGTTACCACTCCCCATATGTTTCTTATGCTTGGGATTTCTCACGTTTCTTGGATCTGTGGGTGTATGGTTTTCATGAAATTTGGAGCTTTTCAGCCATTGCTGTTCCAGGAGTTGTTTTTGTTCCTCCTCCCTGAGCTGTGCTCTGGAGGCTCTGTCAAGGCAGTGTCGCGCATAGTTATGAGGGTCATCTGTTTGCTTCCCTTCTCTCAGATATCTCTGCCCTTTGTTGCCTGATGTTCAGTGTTTTGAAAACAATTTTTCCATCTATTTTGTTTTACAGTTGTTTAAGCAGGAGGGTACATCTAGGCTATTACTCCAACTTGACTGGAAATGATGGTTAAATACTTTTTAATAACATCAAGAAATTCGACTATTATCTACTTTAAAATCCTCACTTTTGTATAATATCACTTTTTGAACTTGATAAGGCAAGAATGAATAGGATAGTTGATGACTACTTATCTTAAAAATAACTGTAAGCCGAGCCTGGATAAGGAATACAAGAGCTATTTGACTTTGGATTTCTTTTTTAGGCCTCAAACGTTACCCAGCGAGTTAGATTTTTGTCTTGGTATAAGAAACACTTTTTTAAAAAATAAAAATAAAAAGAGGATGGGGTTTCCCTCTTATTTGATATGTCTTAATTTATGTTTTATTAAGATTTAATTTACGTATGCAAAATCCACCATTTTTAGTACTGTCACAAACCGCTTCCTCCCCACTCTAATCCTCTGGCAACTACTAGTCTGTTTTTCATTTCTGTAGTTTTGCCTTTTCCAGAAAGTCATATAAATTCCAGAATCTTACAGAATGCCGTCTTTTGATTCTGGCTTATCTCACTTAGCATAATGTATTTGTGGTTTATTTATGTTGGTGAGTATCAGTCATTCATTGCTTGTTCTTGTGAGCAGTGTTACACTGAATGGATGGATTGCACTTTTGTAGTAGCACCACCTGCCAAAGCAGGCAGAGGCAGTGGGGTATATTGGAGTAAGGCATAGAGAGGATTGAGGCCTATTCTGATGGGAGATTAAATGATCTCAGAATTTTGTTTCACATCTGCAGTTTTTAAGTTCATGAAATGCCAGTGTAAATGTTTTTACCTGGCGAATACAGGTTACTTGCTTGACTTAAGAAGAGGACATGTTGGGACATACTGTGTTATATGCACAGATCCTGAATTTGGGGGTCAGTTGAAACAAGATGCATTGTTTTCCCTTAGTTTTGAGGCATTGTTTTTTGTTTTGCTTTGTTTTGGTTTTGTACGTATACCCTCTTTGAAGTTATCCGAAAGTAATCAACTTCTTATTAATTTAATTTCCCTTACTTTCTACCTCTCTCCCTTCCCCTCAGTCTACTCTGCTCCTATTTCTTTGGAATTCCACAGAACTCTAGTTGTTTTAGAGAAAAATAAACACAATCTAGTTATTATTTTATTCATATTTTTCTCTATTTCCTATCACTGTAGTAATAGCATGTAAAGGAATCTACTGGGGCTCTGAAATGAAACAGAAAGAAGTTTAAAACTTCCAACTGCATTTCTACCTAACAAACCTGAAAATTATTTTCTAGACCTCCATTTCTCATCTTTAAAATGGTGCTAAACATCTGTCTTTTGAAGGTATAAGGATTAAAAGATATAATGGAAATGTTTTTAACACAGTTCTGGAACATAGTAAGTGCTTAACTTCAAATATCATGAAATAAAATTTTTGAGTCTTCTTGTATCTCTTGAATAAGATCTTGTAAAGATCAATGTTTCTTATAGTTTGATCAAGGACTGATAAAAAAGTATGACCTGTTTTGTATTAAAGTTGTGCCACAGTGTAGTTTGGAAATTCTTCAGTCCAGACTTATTTCATAAGGAAAGTACTTTTTGTGTGTGTGTGTAAGTTCACCTCCCCAAAGTAGCAGGGAGTGGGGGTCAAAGCTTAGGAGACATGGTGGCAGCTATAGCTTAAAGAGCACATGACCACGCCAGAGTTTAGTAAAGCAACGGCAAGAAAAGCGCTTCTTGTTCTACCACCTTCTTGAAAGGATTCTGCCTTTACCTAGTGATGAATTTAAGCTTTAAAATGCTTAGGAGGTTTTCTGTCAAAGAATGTCATTAAAATAACACCTGGGGTTTTTATATAATGGCTAGTGAAGGAAACAGATTTGGACTGAGATTGCTCCTTACAGAGCTGCTCTGTGTCACACTGACTTACTTTTCCACCATCATCCTTCGCGTTTGTTCTGATTCTGATGTGCTACTTTGTAATGCTTTTATTTGGCTCTCCTTGTGTGACTTGGTTGGATAGGTCTTTGTTTTGGGGAAAAATTCTCAGGCTTAGTCAGGATAGGGAAATGACTACTCTGAGGGAATCCAGTAGCAATAACTAATCGATATTAGAGTTTTGTTATGGAAATTCGAGTTAAAAGCAGAAATTACATTGTCCTAGACCAACCTTATAGCTGCAGTTTTGCATATTCTTATAAATGTCTATTGAACTTTTTTAATGCATTAACTTGCCCTCTAATATGTAAAACAAGTCAGTTTTACAATTATTTAATGTTTTCCAGATGAAGGTAATGAAACAGAGGTGCAGCCACAACAAAATAGCCAGTTAATGTGGAAACAAGGTCGCCAACTACTTAGACAGTGAGTATCCCAAGTTTAAACTCATAAATGGTCAAAGACAAGAAACATATTTTCATGAAATTATTTTTAGTTTGTACTTTAAACTCAATAGAATTTTTATCTTATATTATTTATTATATGCTGCTGTGAAAAGCTTAATTGAATTATTATTCCTTTTTCATATTAAATGCTTTTTCCCTGTGGTAGAATTTATATAGCTAAAATAATTATGTACCTTATAGTTATTCTTTTTTGCATCTTTTATGTATGAATGTACATAAGTTTTAATATGAGTTCAGTCAATGTTTACATGTAGTTTTGTGTTGTTTTTAAACTTTTAAATAAATTAAAGAACTTTTTGAATTTTCTAAATTTGCCAAATATTGCCCAACATATTATTTCTCCTATAAAATATGTATTTAAGATAATAAAGAGGAAACAACTGGACTGAGCTTCTGATGTCAAGTGGTAGACCAGACTTACTCACCAGCTCCGTGCCTAGTCCTTGCAGCCCTCCTTTGAAACTGGCATTTAGATTTGTGTCTTGAGAAAATGAAAAGTCTACATTTGTTTTGACTTCACGAATTGTTTATGAGTAATGTAAACCTAAGGTTTCCAAAGCGGTTAGATGCTAGTCATTCCCTTTAACTATTGGAAGAAAATATTAAAATGTTTCCTCATACCTGTTTTTTAGTCGCAACAAAAGAAAATGAAAATGTACTTGATATTTAGTAAGTGAATTTTCATTAGTGTCCTTACTTTGATCTTATATATGGCTTATGCATTTTCCTTTTTAAATGGATAAGCATTCTTAAAAATGCTGGTTTTTTAAAAAATGAGAAATGATTTCATAATGAGCTATCTAGGAGACATTTTCAAAAATATCAAAGGATCTAAAATCTATCCCTCAAAGTAAAGATATCATTTTATCAGTGAATGAGGAAGTAACTGTTTAGTAAAACCAAGTTCTCTGTAACAAGAGCAGTTTTGAAACAGGTATTTGTAATGCATCTTTTGTTGCCAAAGTGAGATATGTATCAAGTATTATTTAAGAATAGAAAAACATAACACCTTTGCAATAGTTTGCAAGGACAAGTGATTAAATTCAGGAAAGTTGGGAATTTACTATCCAAATTTTAATCGAGACCTTTCTGTAAATATTGGATGAGATTTAAAAATGAGCATCCTGTTATTCCCTTTGATCACATATGTTTGTGAGATATCTCTTTCTGCACTAATAACTATTAAGACCAAATCTTGCAATAAACTGAACTTAAACTGGTTATCTTGTTGACTTCTATTTTTTTCTTTCATCCAGTGGACTTGGTGCCTACTTACAAGTTGATGCCTAATGTTTTTCTGTCATGTTTATTTGCCTTTTTCATGGTCCTGCCAATGCCACTATTGGCCTTTCTTTGGTGTTAATAGGTGTTGAGTGTTTTCTGTATGCCAGGCACAGTATTCGGTATGTCTGTTTTAGGGTTACAAAGGCTAAAGTTCAGGAGAAGTAAAGTTATATATACAATTAGTAAGTGGAGAACTTGGCCTAAGATCTAGATCTAACTCAGTACAAAGCCTTTGCTCTTTTCTTAGTGTCACTGCCTCTCGTAACATGCACTCGTGTGTGACATACCCCACATCCCACAATTTAAGTGCAGTTTATTCTTATTTTAGAGAAGTTTCAGGATAGAAACTTCCCTTCTATTAAAAGTAATTCAGGAAATACTGTCTTCTTATATGTCACGGAGAAAACCATATATGCTAAAAACATTTTCTCTGGATCATAAACAATTAATCCATGACACTTTTTGTTAGACATGTAAAAAAATTACTGGAATCAGTATTATTAAATACTAATTTGGTAGAATCTTGGCGTGAACTTGCTCCAATTCTGCCTAAAGGAAAGAATGTGCTATTAGATACATTAAGAAACAGCTTCTTCTTATGATACATGTAATGAATGGTGTATTGTATAGTTCTTTGATTTTTCTCAGTGACTGTAGAGACTGGTACTGCAAGAGACAGCTCCATCTGCAGCTGGGAGATTATTTGTTAACAAGTCTGACTAGCATAGTACTGTACTGTTGAGTCTTATGCAGGTGATGAATTTTAAGAAATACTTTTATTTGCACATTAAATTATAAAATGCTGATTCCAGTATGGCTGGATTGTAAGGATCCTCTTCACACAGGTATCTCCAGGAAGTCGGTTACACAGATACTATTCTAGATGTGAAATCCAAACGAGTGCGAGCTTTGTTGGGTTTTTCAAGTGATGTCACTGACCGGGAAGATGACAAAAATCAGGACTCAGTTATAAATGGCACAGAGGCTGAAGTTAAAGAGTCAGCAATGATTGGGTAAGTATTTTGTCTGGCAAGTGTTTTGGCTATAAGAAGTTCTTATTAAATATTTTTGGTATGAGTATTTATACTTTTAGATAGTGCTGTAGAAATAATTACAATTAAGATTAATAAAATTTTTAAAATTTCATCTGGTTAGGCAACACATAGGGCTTGGGGTTATCATTTATGATTATTTTGACTCAAGAATATAATTTTAATTTAGGATATTTTATTTGCTTGAAATATCTACTTAGTATAGATTTTAATATCTTAAAGCTCAGTCACTTATTAAATAGAACTTCATAAAGGATTTTATTTGGAAATTCAGTATAAATCTGTAAGTATGAAATTTCCTTATTGGTGACCCAGAAATCATAAAAACACCTCAAATTATTTAGAAGTAAACCTTTTCTTAAACACTTTTGTTAATCTAATATGCTGTAACTCATCTTTCTTTGATATAAAATATTTAAGTAGATATGTTTTAATTAATAAAATAGGTGTAAAACACTGTAGTTGTTTGAAATATCTTGTTTTTCATTTTGGATAATTTATCATACAACTATATATAATTTTACTTAAAATGAGCATGAGTAGTTCAATGAGAAGATTCCTCTTTATTGGAAAAAATTTCCCATGATTCTTAATTGAATAAAATACCAAAAATTTTGTGGGTGTCTAAATATATTACTTTATTTTGATACATGTTTAAGAAGGAAGAATGGATTTAATTGAACTCTATACATTTTTTAGTGAGAAGATTGTCCTATTGTTTGAGACATAAACCAAAACTATGGGGTTAAGATTCAAAATAGGACTTTGATAAACAAATGTCATTGGAACCTTCTTAAATGTATTCATTAATAATTAAGAATATATTGACTTGTATTTATAAATGTCAGGTATAGGTTTTTTCTCTGTGTAGTCATAGACCGTGTGGATGTTCTTTTTAGTTGTATATTTAACTTAACTCATTAAGTTAACTGAGATAGTATAGTTGTTTTTATATGTTTTATAGAACAATAGTGCATACTTTTAAAACCTTCAGTAAAGGCCTTCAAAAGAGACCACTCTATTGGATATTTTGGCCTTGATCTATCTTTTAAAATTGACAGAGGTATTGTCAGATTTCTGTAGGGATAAAGAATTGGACTGGGGAAGGCATCCGAAAACATAGCTCTCAGCAGATTTGAAATTTAAGATTTATCTGTTTTGAAAATTGTGCTCATTGTTGTGGCTACAGGAAAATGGTCTCTTATCTAAAACATTTCTTAATGAACTGGAGAGAAAGCATTCTTTTTTGCCACTAGAAAACTTTATTAAATTTATTTTGAGGGAACTAAATTTAAGTCTTATATATTTGAAAATTAAATGATTTCTAAAAGATTAGTGACTTATTCATCAACAGAAACAAGTCTTGTAGTAATGTAAATTTGACTAGTACATTGTTATTAGAAATTTCATGTGTACATTCTTTCACTGCTTTAGCTGTATAGCAGAAATTCAGACTTGCATCTGAGATAAGTGACATTTGCTAGTTATTTTCTTAGTTGTGGAAATTTATGTAAGAGATCAAAAGAAGTGTTGCAGAGAGGATAAGAATAGAGAAAAATGGAGGCAGAGATGATAAAAATATTTTTTAAGAATACAATAAGGTTGATATAAGGATCAAAATAATACTGAATTAGGAGGGGGGGTTCTTCACATTAGATTGCCATTCATCTAAATAGCTATGATTTCAAAGTACTTTTAAAAGAATAGCCGCTTTCTATATAGCTTTTTCAATTAATCTATGGAAATATAAGAGCTGAGAATCAATGTCAGTCATAATGTGATTTGGGGATCATAGGTACAATATAAACAGAAGTTAATGTAACATATCATGGATTAATTCTTATGTTGAGGCTAAAAAACTTAACTAAGTGGGATGTACATGTTTTAAACTAGAAAGTCCGAGTTAACAGATTCTGCCTCTGTGCTGGATAATTTCAAATTCCTTGAAAGTGCGGCTGCAGATTTCAGTGATGAAGATGAAGACGATGATATTGATGGAAGAGAGAAAAGCATCATTGATACATCAACAGTGAGTTAAAGAACTCATATAATATAAATATTTTTAGGGACTATAATGCATACTTAAAAATGATTTCAAGGCCGGGCTCAATGGCTCAGCCTGTAATCCCAGCACTTTGGGAGGTCAAGGCAAGTAGATTGCCTGAGCCCGTGGGTTCAAGATCAGCAACTTGGCGAGACCTCATCTCTACAATAAAATAAAAAATAGCTGGGCGTGGTAGCACGCGTCTGTAGTTCCACCTACTTGGGAGGCTGAGGCAGAAGGATCACCGGAGCCCACAGGTCAACACTGGGGTGGCCGTGAGTGTGCCACTGCACTCTAGCCTGGGCGAAGGAGTGAGACTCCAACTCAAAAAAAAAAAATTATTAATGTCCTTCAGCCTTTAACTTTTTTTGGTTATGAGTTTGAGGAAATTAATCTATAAGAGTTTGTAGTATTGATTTCAAATTCAATAATATATTTGGTGTAGCAGCTTTCATTTAGTTTAGTGAAAACTTTTAGTTCAACTGTTTGACTCTTTGTTAATTCAGTGAACATGACAACATTTCTATAGGACTCATGAGTATGGTAAATGTTTGTTGTATTATAACAATGCAGTGTTATTGGTTGCTGTAGGAGGATAGAAGTGACAGGCACATCATGGTGCCTGATGGCCACTAGCATCAGCTCTCATCGACACAGTTCTTGTCTCTTGTCAGGGTTGCATGGTAGACAAGGTCTGCAGACTTTCAGAACTCTTCTGTTAGATTACTTCAAAATTGGACAGTGTCTTCTGTGGTTTTTTGTTCAGGTCTGTATAAGTTCATTGGGTTTCCCGGGGCACTCTTCTGGAATAAGAGATTTCGCTAAATGCCTGCTGTTTCTTTCTCTTCCCTTCTTCATTTGCTTCCTTCCTTTCCTCTCCCCCTTTTCCCTCTTCCCACTTTTCTTACCTTCACTTTTTTCCCTTTCTCCTTCCTTCTCTCTTCTGTCTTCCTCTTCCTCCTCCTCCTCTTCCTCCTCCTTTTTTAAGTAGGAGATTAGGACATGTTTTGTTTTGTCTAGGAAAGTGTTTGCACTTCACTTTCATGCTTATTTAAGAATACAGAGGAGGAAAGTAAAGTAATATAGAGCCCAGACCTGGAGTTAAAAGACTTGAGTTTAAGCTTTAGTTCTTCCACTAATTGTGCTTTTTGATGCTTTAGTTTTTGACTTTGTAAGATTAGGATTATAATAAATACCCATCTTATCCATGGAGGATTTTGTGAGTAATAAAAAGAGATACTATATATGAAAATGATCTGTTTAACTTAAAGGCTTTCTAAGTGTAACTTCTCTCTCTCTCTCTTTTAAATACCCCTCTGCTTCTTTTATGCCATCTGAGACTCTCAAATTATTACTGCCAGATTCTTGTTTCCCTGGACCATTATTCAGTAGCACTCTGCTGATACAGCCCTACCATGGATATTATTTGAACTTCAAGTAGTAACCCAACATTTTTATTATCAAAACTAGTGGTAGTCTTAATTTACTCTTGTAAAAGAAAAAAAATCTAAACTTCTGTGTTACTTTTTCTCCATCCTTATTATCTGGAAATTGTGTAACTCTTTGTGATTTCTGTGGGAAAACCATTGAATATTATTTTCCCATCAAGATAATTTAGTCAAGGATGCCAATAATTTATTTAGGGAGTATCACTTGAGCCCAGGAGTTCAAAACTAGCCTGGGCAACTTAATTAGACCTCATCTCTACAAAAAATTTTTTTAAAATAGCTGGATGTGATGTCACATGCCTGTAGTCCCAGCTATTTGGGAGCCTGAAACGGAAGGATCACCTGAACCTAGGAGGAGGTCATGGCTGCGGTGACCTGTAAGCGTTCTACTGCACCCTAGTCTGGATGACAGAGTGAGACCCCAACTCAAAAAAACCCAAAACTTTATTTATAGCTCAATGGTAGTTAACAAATCAAATCATGGTGCTGTAAGTTTCTGTAGTTAGTGATATCAATGTATTTTTAAAATTATAAACTGATTATTAAAATGATTACATATGATCTTACTAGAAATTCCTAAACTATAAACTGATTTTTTTAATGTAATGAAAATCATAAATATACCTCCTTCCACTGAGTGCAGATCATAGCAATTCTGTATTGCACGCAATGGCTTGTGGCTGTAATCCTAGCTACTTGGGAGACTGAGGTATGAGGATCACTTGAGGCTAGGGGTTCTAGACCAGCCTGGGCAACACAGCAAGACCTCATCTCTAAAAAAAAAAAAAAGTGGTTTTTTTTTTTTTTAAATTAGCTGGGCACAGTGGTGCATTTTTGTAGTCCCAGCTACTTGAGAGGCCTAGGCAGGAGTATTGCTTGAGCCCAGGAATTCAAGGTTGCAGTGAGCTGTGATGGTGCCACTGCATTCCAGCATAGGCAACAGTAAAACCCTGTCTTCCCTCCTTTCCCCAAGGCAATTCTGTGACCAAATAAAGAAGTCATATCTAATATAAACAGTCTTAGCTTCATTCAAACACAGGACTCAAAAATTCATTTAGCCTTTTAGGAAACACATTCCTAAGCAAGTAATGGGTTTTGTTTTTAATAGTTTGGCTTAGTGTTACATGGTATTGCAGTAATTTTCACAGCTGCAGTCTAGTAGCTACATGCCAAAAGGACTTTAAAAATCTAACTCTTTGTTGCAATGAATAAGCATGACTTAGAAAATTTATTGCATTCTATAGAGAGAGAATGGCTGAAAAATTATCCTATTAAAATGTCAAGTAGAACACATGGGTTTTTAAAATGTTTTTTCTTTAATCGAAATAGTTTAATAGATTCAACTAAGAAAATATAGAAACACAAGGCTCTTAGTAACTGCTGTTGTGTTGAGGTTACCATAGTGAAGTGTCTTCAAAGCTACATATCCTTCCTTTCTTCCTCTTTGCCCTTTTTGAAATTTGATTGTTCCTTTGGTGACATTCTGGATGATTTTCTTCCTCTGCGTCTTCTCTTTCCTCATGATCAACCTCTTTACCTTATTTTTCTTTACTATCATTGTTATCAGCATTATCATCATCATCATCATCATCAATTAAGTATTATAATGATCTTGAAACTATGCATGCATGTAAAAGTTATCAGTTTCAAACTGTGTGAAGGATAACTTCTGTAGCAATGTTTAGTCTCTACGTTCAGGGACTTTAGGGCAAAAAAGAATGGAATTAAGAATTATTAACTATTGTTTTAGCCACAGTACAAGCAATTCCATCTCTCTTTCTATCCATGCTTTTCCTAATGCTTTTCAAAGTAACAGTCTATCTTTTTTTTCTAATCTACTCAGGCACCCAGTGCAGCCCGTAACTTTTTTCTGCTTTTGTCTGAATTTCTTAAGTTGATTTGTAAGCTCATCAAAGATAGGAGTAGAGCAGAACTTTCTATGTCAGGAAGAAAGGTAATACATGCTCATTATTACAAACACCACTTCTTCCCATTTACTAATCCTATTCTCTCTTGGTCCCACAGTTCATTTTCTTCTGAACCTAAATATTAAAAAGCACAGGTTTTTTGGTTTATTTATTTAAATGGGATATTTGATAAGTATACTAATACGCATGACAGCAATGAGCCCTGCCATTTATCTTCATTCTTTGTAAGGTTATACTGAGGAGATAAGACCTTCAAACAAGTTTTTTACCCCAAGTAACTTTCGTGACTTAATACCATAGTTAATGTGAAAAATACATTCAGACTTTCAATTTTAGGTTCCAGATACTACTTCTGGATCTTCCTGGCCCATTTTGTCAGGCACTGAAAACACGAACTCTCTGTCTATAAGATGCTGGTGATGGCCCCTCTGAATTACAGCTAGCATCCCATTAGGGCTCTGGAGAAGGAGGGATCAAACCTCTAGGGTAGAAGAAGGTGGGTTGGGCAGTATATTTGCTTGAGAATCTGGGTGTCCCATTGTTAAAACTCTTCAGAGACACTTTTCTACCTTCATGTGGCTGCCTAGGAAAAATTAGAATAGAATATAGTTTGTGAGTACTTATAAAAATATACATTCAGCATAAATTTTCTGTTCACAGTCTGTGACACTGGTCTTGCTGTTTTTGTTTGTCTAATAGATTTGCTAGATGTTAGACTGGGAAATGCTATAACCATAGAAGTATCTATTGATTTTTAGGAAAACATCCCAAATAGTTAAGCTAATTATTCTAGCATCATTAGATAATCTTTCATTTCTCTTATTCAGTTTTTATACATACCAGGACAGTTAAGGCCAGATAAGTTTCATCTAGGATGCCAGCTTTGTCCTGTTGGTAGTGGCTTCCTTGGTGCTGTGTTGTGAAGGATTTCTGAGGCTGTATCTTGTCTTTGATGAAAAGCTCTGTGATTGATAAGTGACATCAGTTATCAGCGTGAGAACAGGGCCACACAAATCAGGTGTTTGTTATCTCTTAGGATCTATTTCTGAACTCTCTAGTCTGTCTCATTGATCTGTCTTTATAATTTTAAATCACTCAACATAGTTCAAGGATAAACTTTGATCAGATTTTGCTATTTCTGTTTCACATAAAGTTAAGAGTCTGAAGTCTGGAGAAACTGAGATATTGAGTCATTTTATTGAAAGAAGCTGCAAACCAATCTACCTGTTTTCTCTGGGTTCACATTGGTGGAGGTAACTGAAAAGAAGATAATTCACAAAGAGCTTAGGCATGTAGATCTCAAAAATCGTCTCTGCGTGTGTTAATCCTCCAACTGGATCTGTGATTTCAAAGATATTTCTAAATACATAAAAATGAAATATAACACATTTTATCATAATTGCTATTAAATCTAATTCTCACTTTGAAACTTCAATATTTTAGGGAAAAAAATGGAATGTATAGAGAGTGTTGGAGACACTGATGCACGCTTAGGGCAGTGGAAATACTAATGGGAACCTGGCGGAGAACCTTGTGCATCTTGAGGCATGCATTTCTGAATCTGTAGCTTTTTGTGATTTTAGTTTTTTTGAAGAAGTAATGTAGTTGTATTAAAAATGATCATAGTTATATTCTAAAAAGCTCTTGCAATGTTTTGTGAAATGTTTCCTGTTTTGGTTAGGTTAGAATGTCTGCAAACGGCCCAGATTGCATCCAAGAAATGTAAGATTGGTTGTGGTTCTCATAATACAGTGTGTCAGGGATGTTTTTCATCTACTTATAATTTAAGTACATGTCTTATAGTCCAGTGTTTTCAATATATGGTTCCATTACTTTATTTAAAACAAACAAGCCGTTGTACCAGTACCCAAAGTTTGAATTATGGCTTCAAAATGTATAACATATACTTAACTGGCAGGGGAGATAGCATGATCACAAAGGTGGTTTTCCTGTGTGAGGCTCACCCATTGCACTCTGGGTGTGCTGACCCTTTAGATTTCCCCAAATGCGAGAAACTTTTCACTGCATAATTTGTGGTAGTGGAGGACTGTGTTTACACTCTCCCCTGGGAAAAAAAGTGTATGACATACATCTTTTAAAGAGTGATGTGTTTTGAAAAATAAAGTGATGTGGTTTTTCACTGAATTGTGTAGATAGTATAATTATCTGACACAACAAAGGTACACTTTCTCAAGAAAATAATTGAATTAAGTTTTCTCATTCAGTGGTAAAGGCAACTATCTCCTTTATTTAAGTTAAATTCATAGTATATCCTAATATTTTAATTTAGCACGTTTTTTCCACTAGATTGTTAGGAAAAAAGCTTTGCCTGATAGCAGTGAAGATCGAGATACAAAAGAAGCTCTAAAGGAGTTTGACTTCTTGGCGACGACAGAGGAAGGAGACAGTGAATCTAGGAGCGCGGGGGACGGAACAGACTGGGGTAAGGAAGCATACTGGATCCAGCTAGAGATGTTAAGTGAAGTAAAGAAATTAGTGTTTTGCCAGGAGGCAGCATCTTGAAGAAATATAATGCTGAAATGTTGAGCTATGCTTACTATAATCACTTTTATCCAGAGAGTGTGTGTGTTTAAAGAAGGTTGCATAACTAGCTATCTCATTTAAAAATGGATATATAAGCAGCATGGTATGAAAAATTTTGAATTAATATATAGAATATTTCGTTTTCTGCTTAGACAATAGAATTTGCATGTCTAGATTTTGTGGACATTGAGTATGAGACTTATATACTACAGGATTTTGGAGATCTCATCTCTGGCATTATCTGTGTGCAAAGAAGTATAAGTTAGAAAATTGTAGTTATAATTCATTATAGTTTGAGTTTTGACAGTTTGTACAATTTTTCTCAAATTATTCTGAATGAATCTAATCTTTTAGCAAGTATCTTGGGGAAACTTCTACAGCATAACTCATTCTAGTAGTTTGGAAATAATTGTTGCTATCCAGGTAGGATTGTGGTAAATTCTTCTAGGGGTTAATTCCATCAGGTGTGTGTATAAGTGTGTAAGTGAATAAGAGAGAGAGAGATTGGGAATGAGAGAAAATTCCTCTTCAGATTGAAGAATTACAGAACTCAATTAGTTTGTGCTCTGTGTACTTTAAAGAGAGATAAGATTAGAGAATCAATAACTATTCCCAGTTTTCCTTGGAACTTTTCTTTGGGACCAATTTAAATATGTTAAGCTTTGACTCGAAATGCTTTATTCATTAAAATATTGGTAAGGTTATTTTTTCACATTTGTAAATTTTTTGACTTTCTACACCATATTGTTCTGCTAATGACCTAATATAACTTGCTACTTTCAAGGATTTTTTTCAACACTAAAGCAAGAGTTTAAGGGTATTTCATCTTTTTTTTTTTTACTATGTATAAGTTGTATTTTTACTATATATCCTACACATTTCATATACCACAATATTGTGCAATTTCCTCACGGAAGTTTTAGGAAGCTAGTTTTCCAAAAAACTAAATATATTCAGGAAAAGTAAGTGATAAAATCTCTTTCTATTGGGCTATTCTGACACATTAACTATTGGTCTCCTGCTCTTAAATTGGCCAATCTAAAAATTATGTTACATTAAGACCTGTTTAGAGAGGGCTGGGCAATATTTTGCTTCCATGAGGTAAAAGGGATGAATATTGGTTTCCCTTTTTTTGAAGTGCTTATTTTGGTTTTTTAGGTATGTAATTTTGTGGTACCCACATAGCCACAAGATTAATAGGACTAATTTAAAATTTTTCACAGGCTTATTAAATAGTTCATGATAGTAGGAATTACTTACATGTTAATTTACTAAACCTTTTGAAAAACAGTTCTTGTGTATGGAGCATATTTTAAAATTAAACCTTATTTAACATCATTTAGTGTTTGGCTGAGAAATGTTTGTCACATTTTTCTGCCACTGAGAAGTTAGAGTCCTCATGCAGGGGAAGTAGTATTATGCTATAATTTGGGATCGTGATATACTTTTCAAGGATTATATTTTGGCATGGGGAGAGGTGAGAGGCAAACATGTGGATTAAATTAAATTATTTTCATTACTCTGAAATGAAATTAATTTCCATTACTCTGCTTTGAAGAAGTTACACAAGAATCTGGTTTTGCATCTGCAGAAAGTTTTCCGTAAGTTGGTTTTTTTTTTTGAGTTGGAGTCTCACTCTTTCACCCAGACTGGAGTGCAGTGGCACACTCCTGGCCACCGCAGCCTCGACTTGCTGGGCCGGCGATCCTTCTGCCTCAGCCTTCCAAGTAGCTGGAACCACAGGCATACACTACCACGCCCTGCTAATTTTTTAATTTATTGTAGAGACGAGGTCTCGCCAAGTTGCCCAGGTGGGTCTTGAACTGGGTTCAGGCAATCCACTCACCTCAGCCTCCCAAAGTGCTGGGATTACAGGCTGAGCCACTGAGCCTGACTTGTTAGTTTTTGACAGCTGATATTGAGATTTTAGAATGTATTGATTTGCTAATTGGTAAATTATACAATATTTACTTATTTCAATACAAATTCATGGTATTATAGATATGGTTGTGTAGAACACTTAGTTAAAAATGCTAAGGTATTGATGAGAAGATAATTGGAATTTTAACATTGAAAGTTTCTAATTTCTTTCCGTTACTTTTAAATAAGGCCAGACATGGTAGCTCGCCCCTCTAATCCCAGCTACTTCCCAAGACTGAGGATCACTTGAGCCCCAGGAATTGGAAACCAAACTGGGCAATATGAATGAATGTTATTTATTTATTTTTCCAATCTTTGAGAATTTTAACTGAAACATAAAGTTACACTGAATAATACTATTGTTGAATTTTGCTTTCTAAAAAGTTGTTAGAAGTAGTTGGAGATGATGTGTATTGACATTATCTTTTTTATTATGAATTTTTCACACATTTTTCTTCAAGTTGCTACTTTAAATATAGATTGCAGTATACTTTCAAGAACTAATAGTGCTGTTGAATGAGAAATTAGTTAAAATGTAAACTTCATGATTTTTTTGGTATAAAGTAAGTTTTAAAAATTATATGTATATATGAAAAATAAATATTGATAAGGATGTCTTGATTCTCACTTAAAATATATACCTCTATGTCCTTGAATTTCATGACATAAGAAAAACTGAACATCATGGTGTATTGTAAAAAGTATGTACATAGCTATTTTGAGTATGTATACAAATACTCTATATTTAAATTTTCATGAAGATATTTAGGATGAAAATTGTGGTTTGTGTTGTTTCTCACCCATTAAAACCTAAAAACTTTTGATAGATTGTTTCTTTTCTTTTCTTTTTCTTTTTTTTTTTGAGTTGGAGTCTCACTTGGTCGCCCACACTGGAGTGCAGTGGCCGCTGCCGGCCATCGCAGCCTCGACCTGCTGGGCTCCAGCGATCCTTCCGCCTCAGCCTTACAAGTAGCTGGAACTACAGGCGTGCGCTACCACGCCCGGCTGATTTTTTGATTTATTGTAGAGATGAGATCTCGCTGCCCAGGCGGGTCTCGAACCCGCGGGCTCAGGCAATCCACTCACCTCAGCCTCCCAAAGGTGCGGGATTACAGGCTGAGCCACCGAGCCCGGCTGATAGATTGTTTCAGTAGACCCTAATGTCCTAATATTTGGGCAAGTATTTATTGAGAGAATATAACGTCACTTATTTTGTTGTTATTAAAGTTTTTCTTTATAAAATCTTCCACTGTTTTTTTAAAGAGAGAAACAATGGTTTCGTATTTGAAATCTTTAATTTAATATTTTTTTAAAGCTAAAAGTAGCTACGTAGATGATATAAAATTGTTTCATAGGATTATATTGATTATTTAGATGTGAATATACCACATTATGAACTTTTCATCTACTTTTTTTTGTATTGGAGTCTCACTCTGCCACTCAGGCTGGAGTACAGTGGCACGCTTATGGCCACCCCAGCGTCGTCCTGCTGGGCTCCAGCGATCCTTCCACCTCAACCTTCCCAGTAGCCGGAACTGCAGGAGCGCACTACTGCGCCCGGCTAATTTTTTCTTTTCTTTTTTTTTTTAATTGTAGAGACAAGGTCTTGCCAAGTTGCCTGGGTTGGGCTCGAACCCACAGGCTCAGGCAGTCCACTTGTCTTGGCCTCCCAAAGTGCTGGAATTACAGGCTGAGTCACCGAACTCAGCCTTTTCATCTACTTTTATTCAAGTAGCTACATTTAATAGAGATTTCAATATACCTTCAAGAATAAGAATACAGACTGTAAGACTAGAACACGCTATTACTTCTGTCCAAATGTTACTTAGTGTCTTTTACTGTTTAAAATGAAAAACTTTCTTACATTTTTTAAAACATCTTTGGTTACAAACATTTGAAATACTCATTTAAACCCTAATTTTTTTTTGAGTTGGAGTCTCACTCTTGTTGCCCAGGATGGAATGCAGTGGCACTCACAGCCACTGCACCTTGGCCTGCTGGGCTCAGGCAATCCTTCTGCCTCAGCCTTCCAAGTAACTGGAACTACATAAGCCCTAATTTTTGGTATATAAAGGAATTCTAAAGCCAAAAAGAAAAAATAAGATGCTTTTTCCTTCTCTCATTTATGTTAAAATTTTTGTTGAGATTTTTTTGTTCTTTACATTTGCTTGGTCATTATATGGTGACTGATAGGACGACTCACTTGGAAAAAGAAAAATTCTCAAAGAAGATTGCCTCATACTTTTAATAAAAATTGTTGTTTTTTTTTTGGCTGGGCACTGTGGCTCACACCTGTAATCCCAGCACTTTGGGAGAAAGAGGCAAGAGGATTGCTTGAGCCCACGGATTTGAGACCAGCCTGGGCAAGTTGACAAGACCTCGTCTCTACAATAAATAAAAAAATTAGCTGGGTGTGATAATGCACACCTGTAGTTCTGGCTGCTTGAAAGGCTGAGGCGGAAGGATCGCCGGAGCCCAGCAGGTCGATGCTGGGGTGACCGTGAGTGTACCACTGCATTCCAGCCTGGGCAATGAAGTGAAACTCCGAATAAAAAAAAAAAGAATTTAAAAACTAACACATCGTTTAAACTGTTTTAAATTTTGAATAGAGGTTGATTAATATGTTTTATAAATTGTTACTGATAAGATGAGCACATGCCAAAAATACAAAATTCTTGAAAAGATCATCAAAGATTATTTTGTACAATCTCTAAATAGTCATCTTTCATCACATAAATTAATATGAAATATTTTTGTGAGTCAGTCCTAGTAGAATTCTGAAAATAAGAGGTTCTTGATTGTAAAAGTGTTTGGGCTTAATTTACTAAAAATCACTAAAATCTTCTAGGTTTTTAAAAATGTCTCTTTCAAGAGAAACTTAATGATACCTAGGAAATTGAATTGATCATTGTGTCTTAGCTACTATGTTTTGTATGATAAAATTATTTAAATAACAATAACTATTTTTACAGTTAGTGGTACTGTGAGGAAAATGGTTGTATCATTCAGACATACTGACTTAGAATGTTCAATTTTTATTGAAAAAGGCTGTTTTATTTGTTTCACTCTATTTAGAAAAGGAAGACCAGTGTCTCATGCCTGAAGCCTGGAATGTGGACCAGGGAGTAATTACCAAACTCAAGGAACAATACAAAAAGGAGAGAAAGGGGAAAAAGGGGGTGAAGAGTAAGTGGAAAACATTGTGTCTGTAAATCATCAATCTCACCTCTTTTTACATCCCTCATTTTTTTTTTCAATGTTTTCCTAAAACTACTTACTCTTTTTCATTTCTGCTCCTGACCTCTTCCCTTTTCACCTGCTCTCAGGGGTTGAAATTAAACAGCTATCGATTATGACCTTAAAAGAAAACAACCCACATGTGATTATGGAATCATGAAATATCCCAATAATAAATTAAGAGCCTCACGAGAATGTTGGTCTGTGTAGCCAAACCCAGTGATAATTTGATTTTTAAAAGTATATGTAACCGTGCTTAATTGTAACAGTGATTTTTTTTTTCAGTGACAATTTATACATCTCATCTAGTGTGACCCTCTGGCAGTGTGCCAGAATATTGCTTCTAATTTTAAATCTTGCAAAGAGAAAAAGAAAGTTAATTTCTACCCCTGAACGTTCTATGTATTCATAACACACAGTTCATTTGCTATCACCACTATATGCTATACAGGGCAAAGAGTCAAATGTATAACTTTTAAAAGTAGCTATTTTCCATTTTAAAACTTTTGGCCAACTTCACTTATGACAGTATTACCAATTACCTCTTTTTCTTTTCAACAAAATATGGGCCACATCAAAAACAGAAGCCAAAATGAAATTTTTAGCCCTGTGAATCATATATGTATATATAACTTTTTCATGATGCAAATTGTTTAGCAATGGATCTAGTTTCATAGGTAAAATAGAAATACAAAAGCTTTCAAAACATAACTGAAAATGATCTTAAACATCTTTTTGAGAGAGCAAAGCTAACCTACCTCATGTTTCTACCCTATTGACAGTATGAACATGGACCTCCCTTTTATGGCAGTATAAATTTATTTCTTTGAGATATTAAAGTAGCATAAAGTTAGATGAAAATCTTACAATGAGAAACATATTTTAAAATTTCCAAAGACCAGAAGGATGTGCTTTTTCTTTTTCTCTCTTTATAGTGATGCTAACACTTACCAAAGACCAGTCATTCCTGTTAGGACATTCTTTTAGGACTTAAAACATTACTTTAAAACATTTAAATCTGTATCTAAAATATCTTAGAATTTATAAGTGTTTAGCTTGAGTTAATAAAAAGTCATGTCCATTATTGATGTTAGTATATCTAACAATTACATGCTTAAAGATGATGTTATTTAATGCTGCCTCAATATAGACTAAATCAGAAAGAGAAAAATTAATATTGAAACATAAGTACATTTTCTACCTTGTATCCAAATATATTGATAAACAATTTTATCTTAATAAGCATAATGAGACATGATTTGCCATGACTGTTAAGAGCCATGACAAAAAAACCAATTAAACTGTAAATTTGAAGAAAATTTAGATATTGTACATGAGAAACAATTTCCAGATTAACTTAACATTGATATATTTCTATCGGTCTTATGTTACAAAAATGAATGTCTTGAAATGTAAAGATCTCTCAGTTGAAAAGGTAGCCAGGACTTGTGCAGAATCCATTCACTTTTCCATTGATTATTCAGTTCTTGTCAAATATCAAGGCATCGCTGTAGTTGGAATTTAGTACTTAACTACAATGGCACTATTTGACTGGAACAATATTCCTGCTAACAGAAGCAATTGGATTTCCTGAATCAAAGGATCATGATCTGTGTTCAGGCGTCTAGCACAGGGTTTTTTTTTTTAGTATGGTGAAAATAATGGCTTGATGGGGAGAAATTTTAACATCTTTCACTGAAGATTGAGGGACTGTAGACTGCAGTTGAGCACATTTTGTTTAACATCTTCATTTCATGTGATAGTGGTAAAGGAACAGTCGGGGGACAAGTAAAAACTTACGAAAAACAACTGAAGCAAAGCTTTGAATTGGCATTTAAAGCATTAGTTTATAAACCACATATATTTTAAAAAGTTGAATTGTTACTTAATGGAAAAGTTTGAGTCTTTTTAATATGGTCTAGTAGAAATATTTCCAGTCAAATTGTGTACTCAAATCATACTATCTTGAAATATATTTTTAGGCATTAGTTAAGATTGCTTAAAAATAGTTGTATTCTTTGCTGGTATAGGAAAAAACCATAATGGACTATGGGTAAGATTTTCCCATTCTTAATTAAACTTATAACAGGAAAAACTACCGAAGATCTGTTTCAGCCTCTATCCTATATAAAACAGTCAAAACAGGGATGTGGGAGAATGAAGAATCAAAGCTCAGGTAAGTAATCTGCAGGGCATGAGACTTCACCTCGGGTACCGTAGCTTCAGGATGTAAGGCAATGAATGCGACTTAACTTTAACAAATGAACAGGGATGCTATTGTTTAATTAAATAAACAGTAGGTTCACAATCTGATATCTGGCTGCATTTAGAGTGATATACAGTGGTTTCATTATAGAATGTTTTTACTTTTAATGGTCTAAATTGGACACAAACATTCTTCTTCATGTAAATGGTGATGTTATTCCATTAGCTTAATTTAAAATATATATAAAATATAATTCTTCTTAAGTAATAATAAACTTACAAAATAATTTGAGAACTATTACTTCTTATTAATCTAGTACAGCACTTTTAATGGCAAAAGTTGTGAAATAAGATTTATGATACCATTTTGATGCAGTTGGATAATTCTGTTTCCTCTTTTTTGTCTCCCTCCCCTCCTTCTTTTTTGGCTAGGGCCCAATAGGTCAAAACTACAAGATATGCTTGCTAACTTGAGAGATGTTGATGAGCTTCCTTCATTGCAGCCATCTGTGGGTTCACCTTCCAGACCCAGCAGCTCCAGGCTTCCTGAACATGAAATTAATAGGGCAGATGAAGGCAAGTATTAGAGATGCTCTGGGCACAAAAAGCACTTGGACATGTGCCGTTAAATTCAGTGTTACGAAGGACTCTCCTATCTTAGGGAGAATTTTAGTCAGTAAATGTTTGACCTAGGTAGTATTCTCCAAATGCAAGCTTTCTTGCGTTCTTACTTAAATCTTTAAGACCTGGGAAAGGATGCTTAAAAAGTTGCTTAAAAGCCAACTCTAAATGCTGGCTTAAAATATTCCCTAGCTCCACGAATACCCATATGATTGGTCCTGTATATACCATCCCAGTAGTGGGAAAAGTAATAGTCTGCACATAGGTAGTAAGTATTTACTTTGAGACATGTTTTATTTAGCTAATTTATCATAGAGAAATGAAAAAGGGAAAAAAGTCACCTGAAAGTTTAGTCACATATTCGGCAGTTTTCCCTTGTCCCCTTTCAGTCCTTGTCCACATGCATATACTTTTTATATAGGTATAGAATATACCTAGGTAAAAATATGCATCACTCTGCATCATGTAGAATAATTGTATTTTGTTTTATTTATTTAACATGAAATCATACAAATAATCTTTATAACTGTAATTTTAAGATTGTATATTATATTTTAGACTTTAAATAAAACTAGTCCCTTTATGCATATTTAGGTTTCTAGTTTTTTACAGTTCAATCTTCTAGTATATAAATACTGCTTTTTTCTTTTAGACACAAGTTCTGATTTATCTATTTGTAAATGTATAAAATGTTTATATGTGGAAATTGATTTTTAAAAATATATTTAAGGTATGGCATGGTGGCTCATGCCTGTAATTTCAGCGCTTTGAGAGGCCAAGGCAGAAGGATCACTTGAGGTCAGGAGTTTGAGACCAGCCTGGGCAACTTAGCAAAATCCCATCTCTATAAAACAAAGCAAGCAAAAAAATGCTGGTTGTGATGGCACACTTAAAGTCCCAGCTACTCAGGAAGGTGAGGCAGGGGAATTGCTTGAGCCCAGGAGTTCAAGGCTATAGTGCACAGGAATCGGACTGTTAAATAACCACTGTACTCCAGACAAGGTGACAGAGTGAGACCCATCTCTTAAAACAATAAACAAATAAACAAATAAATAAATAAATACAATATATTTGCAATAGTTGAAAATCTAGTATGACATAAGAGTAATCTTGATTAAAGAATCTCTTTAAAAAGATTTTTTAAAAAATTAACCCTGAATTTAAATGCTATGATTATTTGCAGTTTGTATGTCTCTTCAGATTATTATTTATCAAACAACACAGCCTGAGAAAAAGTCACAGAATAATAATATGTATTTTGTTTGTTTGTTTTTAACCCTTTGCACTCAGATGTGCCCCTTTGGGGGACATTGTAAATCTAGCAAACCATTTGAATGTCCCCTCTCAGGGGCCATAAAGAGATTGCCGGTGATTATGTAGGATAAACTTATACATACACACATTTTTCAAAAATGTATGTTTCCTTGAAGTTTTCCATTCAAATTGCACACAAAAACAAATAAAGAGATGGAATATGTACTGAGAAACGATTGGTCAGTTGAGAAGTGATTTTTTTAGGAATCAGAAGTACATACTTCCACGATGTCTTCAAAGAATAGACTGGGTACTAAATTACACGTTATTGTGGGAGGAAGAAAGTGAGACTATGCTGTCTGCTCGAATAGAAAAACACTAGGTAGAAGACATCAGACAAATTACTATTGTATAACATGTATGAATGAACATGCGATGTATGTCAGTGACTTTCATACTGTACCACACATTAGAAAAATATAAGGCCGGGCACGGTGGCTCAAGCCTGTAATCCCAGCACTTTGGGAGGCCGAGGTGAGGGGATTGCCTGAGCCCACGGGTTCAAAAGTAGCCTGGGCACCTTGGTGACACCTTATCTCTACAATAAATCAAAAAATTAGCCAGGTGTGGTAGCATGTGCCTGTAGTTTCGGCTACTTGGAAGACTGAGATGGAAGGATCTCCTGAGCCCAGCAGATCGATGCTGAGGTGGCTGTGAGCTTGCCATTGCTCTGCAGCCTGGATGATGGAGTGAGACTCCAATTAAAAAAAAAAAAAAAAAAAAAAATATATATATATATATATATATATATATATAAATATATAAAATTCAGATATTTTTATTATAAATACATTCCTCAATGTCCCAAATTTCATTACAAGGCAAATATCAATACAATAAAATATTTGGTTCCTGGGCTATACTGTTTAATATGAAGTGATTCGTTTTTCACTTTTGTAAAAAAATGCAGTAGAGTATGCTGCTAGGTGATCTGGGAGATGTGTCCGAGTGCAGAGGGTTAATTCAGTTATATCTTAAAGAGACATAAACTAATAGGACTTTGAGATACTGATTTTAATACTGATAAAATACTTTTTTACTGAAATTTTCGACCATTACATGGTTAGTTATTTGTTAGTTAATTATATTATACTTTGAATGTATTACTCATATGAAGAATCAACACATTATACTCTGAATATTCAGACAGATGTAAACTTATTTGATGTAGACCCTTGTCTTTTGAATTACAGATGTGAAGTCATGGTCCTCAGTAGGTATGTTGTTCATTAGGAGATTCATTCTGTTGACATTAGGTATGAGACTTTTAATCACTCACATTTATTCCAAAATCAGGTCTAGATAAGGAGAAATGTTAGTTTTTCTCTTATCCTCATAACTCAAAAAAGTGTATCAGAGATTTTATCTTGGGTCATATAGAAATTAGGCAGAATTCTAATAAAAGAGGCAGGATGTGTACTATTTACCAAATGACAGATATATGAAAGTTAGGCATCTGTGCTAGAAAAATATTTAAGAATCTTAAAACTCAAGCACTGAGTGTTTAACTTACTTCCTGCGCCAGTGGTCCTAACTCCTCCCCTCAGTGCTGGTTTTTCAGAAGTAGAAAATGCATTTAAGACATAGATTGTGTACTTGATTGCCTGACTGATGCTTCTTGGTCTGCAGTCCTCTTTCAGAAAGTCCATATCCCAGGTGTGTTCTGTATTTCTATTTTAACAATTCAGAAGGCAGTGTTACACTGAAAAGGCACAGTTAAATAATTTTGTAAAAGCTGATTGAGGCCATAAAGTTTAGTTACCAGGTAGAAATGTGACCTTTCATTCTCAGTGGAGGCACCGTAGAGAACACATGCCAATAATGTCCGCTGTGCTCTCTTCAGCCCTCAAGTCCACTGGCCATCACAGGGGTGTGAGGAAGTAGTTGTTGCCTTCCTTGCTGTCAGGTTTTACTCGGCCCATTTTCAGTGCATTTTAGAGTTAAATTTAGCTCACAGTTTGTATGGTCAGTCTCAGGAATCTTAGTCTTTCACACTGAACAAAGGTATTTACAATGTTAGAAATGAAAACAAACCAAACAAAAAACACCTGACTGAAGATCCAGCCTCATAGTCTCACATATGTCACTTGATTGAAAATATGACCTAAAAATTACTGTTCTAATCTAAACAATTCCCAGTCTTCATTAGTAAATGTTTAGAGTTGCTTGAACCCCTCAAATGATATACGATGTTTTGGGTAAAACCCATTTTTATTATTGATGCTCTATTGTATATTAGTTTGATATTATCATGTCTTAATTTATATTCTGTTTTATTCTGACAAGGATTTTAAGTAGAGTTTCTGCCACTACTATTTTTAAAAGCAAGTAACCATTTTTTCATTTATTCAATGAGCATTTATTCTCAGATATGATTGACTATAAAGCTGAAAAAACATCTTGTAAATACAGTTTTCTACATGTGCATTGACTTGTTTATTTTAAGAAAAAGTTTGAATATAAACCTAATCAGGAAAATAAAATTTAAAAAGAAAAAGTTAATCTATTTATTTATTTATTTGAGTCAGAGTCTCATTCTGTTGCACAGGCTAGAGTGCAGTGGCACTACCATGGCTCACCACAACTTCCTGGGCTCAGGTGATTCTTCTGTCTCAACCTTCTGTGTAGCTGGGACTACAGGCACGTGCCACTAGGCCTGGGTAATTTTTTTTTAATTTTTTTGTAGAGATGAGGTCTCACTATGTTGCCCAGGCTGGTCTCAAACTCCTGGGCTCTAACAGTCCTCCCACCTCAGCCTCCCAAAGTGCTGGGATTACAGGTGTGAACCACTACACCCAGCCTAATTTGCCTCTTTATTACCTAGAACTTGAACTACTAAATTTATTTAATTGACTCACAAGTGTTTGTCATTAGTCAAGTACCACCTCCAGAAAACTACTCAAAGACCATCTTTGATTTTGTCAGAATAGTTTTTATCTATAAAGAGTGAATTTTTGTTATTGACCAAATTGAATAAAATCTTTATTTTAATTTGGCATTTTGCTTTTAACTGTTTTTTCTCTGATGACTGTTGAAGAAATTGGATTGGTATGTTCAGTGTTATACAATAAGGATATTCAATTTATCACAAAGTAAAACTGACATCTTGAAGCATAGTTGGCAGCTAGTGAAAGTGTTCAAATGGACTCTTTAAAAATATTTCTTTGAAATACCTATAGAAATACCTACCTGCCTACCTACAGAAAATGCTGAAACCATGGGTACAGCTCATTCAGTTATCACATAGGATTGTTCCCTACTCATGTCACCCCACTAGGTCAAGAAGTGGAACAGATGGATGAATTTAGAGTCTATAATACTCGGTAATATATCACAGAACCAAAGATAAGAGTACTACATGTACTCACTCATAAGCAGACCCAGAACAATTATCATCATAATATAAGAAAGGGATTGGGAGTAGTGGGACACTGTCAGGAAGTGGGGAAGGGGAGTATATAACATCAATTAGGGATACCCAACTTTACCTGCATGGTGACCACTTACATACCTAACCCTGAATTGTACCCCACATCTTTAAAATAAAAAAAAAAGAATTATTTTGATACAAGGAAAAAACAAAGAAGTTGTGCTTGTGCTACCTTCTCATCACTACCCTGCCCTGCCCTGCAGAGGTAATTCTGACTTCTCATACCACATATTAATTTTGCCTCACATGGACACATTTTACAAGTTTAACTATTTTTATTTGAAATTTTCTGTTTTCTTCCAGGTTGTGAAGTGAATTTTATTTTGAATAAGACCAGCATTGTTCAGAAACACTTGTTACATATGCTTAGTAATTAATAGAGATTTTGGAGATAATTAGCATAAAACATCAAATGAGAAAAATTTACTTTTCTTTAGTGATATTATTTTCCTATGTAGTGAATAGGATTATTAGATTTGTTTCATGTTTTACTTTCCTAATTAGATGATGCTATTAGCTAAGATATGGGAAAAGCAGTCAGTGGTTTACGATTTTCTGCTTAATGAATTTTATTGTATTTAAAAACATTTAAAATAACTAAATATACACATGCCATTATAAGAAATTTGATACAAGCAGATGGAACTAAATGTTGACTCTTTAAAGGTTTTTTTATTTTTTGAGTCAAGGTTTCAGTCTGTCACCCAGGCTGGAGTGCAGTGACACAATCATGGCTCACCTCAGCCTCGACCTTCTGGGCTCAGGTGATCCTTCTGCCTCAGCCTCCAGAGTAACCGGGACTACAGGCACATGCCACCACACCCAGCTAATTTTTTTGGCTTTTGTAGGAATGAGATCTCATTTTGTTGTTCAGGATGGTCTCAAACTCCTGGACTCAAACAATCCTCCCACCTCAGACTCCCAACGTGCTGGGATTACAAGTGTGAGCCACCACACCTGGCCGACTCTTTAGAGGTTTTTAATGTTTTCTTTGTCTTCTTCCTTCAGTGGAAGCATTGACATTTCCTCCTTCTTCTGGAAAGTCATTCATCATGGGAGCAGATGAAGCCCTTGAAAGCGAACTGGGACTTGGAGAATTAGCAGGACTTACGGTGGCCAATGAAGCAGATTCTCTAACTTATGATGTGAGTAGTTTTATTTTTGATGTGTTTAGTCAGTTTTTGAAAATTAAAAGCTGATTTTTGTAGAAAAAGATGGTAGTAGTAAAATGTCTTCACAAGTAGAGAACTTGATTGAGTTTTCATTGCAAACTTTGAAAAGATAAATATATAGTAAGGTAACATTTTTCACGTAACCTAGACATTATTATTGGCTTTACCTAAATCCATCAGTCAGTATAGTTTGTTTATTGGTTTTAGATAGGGAAAAGAATTTCCTTTTCCATTACCAAGCTCAGGTTTTATTTTATGTTTTAGGTTACCAGTGATTAGTTGAAATTCATGACTACTTAAATAGCAACATTTGTCTTGCTTCTTTAGGACATTAACCAATATTCTGTTGAGAAGTGATTTTAATTATTGTAGGCATGGATGAGTACAGTGTTTTCCAGATGTTAAGGCTGACCCATCAGAGATTTGGACCAAAACTGAAATCTTCATATCTTTGTGCATGCATTTACTTAATTCCAACACAATTATTTTATAAGTGCATTTATAGTTAGTTGCTCTTCACAATAAGTAATCTGTCAGAAAAATAGTTACTTATGTCTCATAGAAAAAGTATTTGTAATCTATATAGCTTATTTCATTAAATTCCTCTCACTTTGGTAGTTCATTTTTTTCCAATGGTGAATACAGTGAAGCCCCTGCAGCATGTATACTATACAGGGGATGGAGGATGGATGCTGAAGCAAACCATGGCTTAAAGAGGCACTCCAAAGAGGGGTGCTCACCACCCACTCCTCTTCCTGCAGGTCAACAGCTCCTACTCCTTGCGTTGAGTCCATTAGGAAGTCTTTCGAGTTCCATCTCCCAAAACAGCCAAAATTTATATGCTCTCACCCAGAGCTCTACTAGCACCTTCTAATCTAAATAGGCTCCTGGCACTCCATTCTCCCCAGAGCTGATACAGATTTTGTAAAATCATTTCTGTTCCATTGTTTTCGTAGTCTTAGATTTAACATTTATCTTTGGAAAACATATTTAGTTGATTTTTGTTGTTTCATCTCATCTTTGACAGTCCTTTAATGGGAGCATTTAGTTCATTTCTTTTTAAATCAATAACTGATGTATCCTAATTTAAGTCCACCATCTATTTTTTTTCCTACTTATTCTGCGTTCCTTTTTCTCCTGTTTTTGCCTATTTTTAAAAAATTGTTCAACCCTCTATTCCTCTACTATTTGAAGTTTATACACCCTTTTGGCTACCCTAAAGATGTATGTACACTATCACACCTTTATCAAAATTTTCTATGCAAAGACCTTAGCATATTTTTAACTCTATTTAACTCTCACCCTGTTTATGTCATTCTTGTTATATATTTCTAAATATATTTATCTCCTACAAGAAATTATTGTTTTGTGTACTCTATATTCAGTTAGCATTATTTATTTTGTTTTTTACATTATTTTACTTTTAAAAATTATTTCCTGCATGTCTGACCATCCATCTGGGATCATTTTCCTTTTACCCTAAGAATACTTTAAAAATTTCTCTTTAGTGAAGATCTGCTGTGCCCTATTCTCTCAGTTTCTGGTTCTCTTAAATTCCTTTGTTTAAAGCAGACCAAAGACCTTAATAAGTGGGCTTAACTACAGATTACACATTACTGAAGAGAAAATTTATGAACTGAAAGATGGGTCATTAAGAAAATAAAGAAAAGGAATAAGAAACAGGTTACAGAAAGAAGGTCTAACACACTTAATATAACTAAGTTCCAAGAGGAGGAGAGACAGAGGTATAAAAACAATACTTGAAGGAAATGACTGAGAACTTTACAGCCAAGATTTAAGTGTAAGAAAGTTAAATATAAAGGAATCCAAACTTTGACTGAAAACAAAGACATAGATAATATTAGTCAGAGAAAAAGATCAGACTATAGACTGCCTTTCAAAACAACAACAGAAATGATAGTCGACTTCAGCAGAAAACAATAAAAGAAAAAAGACAATGAAATACAATACAGTAATACATTTATAGTGCATAAGAAACCCCTCTGACAGCTATTGTTAGTTTTGTACTTTTGTCATTTTAAATATGGAAATGTTTCTCAAGCTTTTTACCAATACAGTCTTGTGTCACTTAATGGCAGAGATATGCTCTAAGAAATACATTGTTAGGCAATTCTGTCATCATGCCAACATCCTAAAAAGCGTATTTACACAAACCTACGTGGTAGTGCCTACTGCACACCTAAGCTGTATGGCATGGCCCATTGCTCCTAAGCTATCTACAACATGTACAGCATGTTACTGTACTGAATACTGTAGGCAGTTGTAGCCCAGTGGTATTTGTATATCTAAACATGTCTAAACATAGAAAGGTTACAATGAAAATACAGTATAAAAGATAAAAAATGGTACACTCATATGGAGCACTTAGCACGAATGGAGCTTGCAAGCCTTGAGGTTGCTCTGGGTGAGCCAAGGAGTGAGTAGTGAGTGACTGTGAAGGTCTAGGACATTATGGTACACTACTGGAGACTTATAAATGCTGTATGCTTAGGTTGCAGTAATTCATAAAAACTTTTTCTTCAATGGTAAGTTAACTGTAGCTTACTGTAATTTTCTTTACTTTATAAACTTTTAGTTTTTAAAACATTTTGACTCTTTTGTAGTAACGTTTAGCTTCAAACAATCATATCATACAGCTGTACAAAAATATTTTTTCTTTATATACTTATCCTGTTACCTTTTTGCTATTTAAAAATATTTTTGTTTCTGTTTTTACCTTTTGACTTTTTTGTCCAAAACAAAATACATGAACACACACACAGTAGCCTAGGGTTCGAATCACTGTATCCTCTTCCACATGTTGCCCCACTGGAAGGTCTTCAGGGCTAGTAACACCTGTGCAACTGTCATCTCCGTGATAACAATGTCTTCTTCTGGAATACCTCCTGAAGAAACTGCCTGAGGCTATTTGACAGTTAACTTTTTTTTTAATAAGTAAAAGGAATACACTGTAAAATAACAAAAATCATAGTAAGTACAAAAACCAGTCACATAGTCACTTATTTCACTATCCAGCATTGTGTACTCTACATAACTGCATGTGCAAGACTTTTTTTTTTTTTTATTCTTTTTTGAGTTGGAGTCTCACTCTGTCGCCCAGACTGGAGTGCAGTGGCCACTCCCGGCCACCGCAGCCTCGACCTGCTGGGCTCCGGCGATCCGTCCGCCTCAGCCTTCCAAGTAACCGGAATTACAGGCATGCGATACCACGCCCAGCTAATTTTTTTGATTTATTTTAGAGATGAGGTCTCGCCTGCCCAGGCGGGTCTCGAACCCGCGGGCTCAGGCAATCCACTCGCCTCAGCCTCCCAAAGGCGTGGGATTACAGGATGAGCCACCGAGCCCGGCTATGTGCAAGACTTTTATACAACTAGCAGTGCAGTAGGTTTGTTTATACCAATTTCACCAAGTGCACATGAGTATTGCATTGTGCTATGACATCACAGCAGCTATAATGTCACTAGACAATAGGAATTTTTCAGCTCCATTATAATCTTATGGGACCAGTGTCACAATGTGTTCCGTTGCTGACCGAAATGCAGTTATAAGGCACATTACTGTACTTTTGCCACTCTTGTTTAAACCCAGCGTGATTGATAGCCTTGGAGTATGTAGAGTTCACACATGGTGCCAGTGTAAAGTTAGATACCAACTACTGCTTTACCTTTTCTGTTAGTTTAAATGAAAATATAGTGTATTTTTTCAATTTTTGAGATGGAGTTACCATGGAGAGAGAATGTAACGATGTGTTTGTTTTACCAATAGAATGTATTTTTTGTGTTATTTCATCTCTCCCATTTTTAACATTTTTGTTTCCAGTTTGATGAAGAAAATTTAGCTCCTATTAGAAAGTACTAAAACTCTCAAAAGTATGCTCATGTTTTAAAATGTTTAAAATGTTAACAGGTTTAAATGTAACCTATTTTTTCAACTCTTACCCCAAATTACATTTCCTAATACGATTTATGTTGAGTTACGTGACTTGTTTAGCTTCCTAGTGAAGATCCGCTTGGAATTATTTGATTCACTTTTTATATTGAATTACTATTTTCTTATTACACCTTTTATATATCTTCAGAGAATGCTACTTTTGGCATATTGTTACTTTTGCCTCTTGGTTTGGATATTTACATTTAAAATTATATTGTTTTAACTGGGCGTGGTGGCTCAGCCTGTAATCCCAACTCTTTGGAAGGCCGAGGTGAGAGGATTGCCTGAGCCCAGGGGTTCAAGACCAGCCTGAACAACTTGGTGAGACCTCCTCTCTACATTACATCAAAAAATAAGTTGGGTGTGGTAGTGCACACCTGTAGTTCCAGCTACTTAGAAGGCTGAGGCGGAAGGATTGCCTAAGTCCAGCAGGTTGAGGCTGAGGTAGCCATCAGCGTGCCACTGCACTCCAGCCTGGGCGACAGTGAGACTCCAACTAAAATTATAATTATAATTATATTGTTTTGAAAATTGCAAAATGTAATGGTATAATGACAATTCAGCAAGTGTTAATGTTGCAAAGCAAGTTACTTCCCCCAATCCTGAACTAAATGTGAAGGTATCTTTGTTCTGTTTCTTTGATAGATAGCAAACAATAAAGATGCATTGAGGAAGACCTGGAACCCTAAGTTTACATTAAGAAGTCACTTTGACGGCATCCGAGCTCTCGCTTTCCACCCTATTGAGCCTGTTTTGATAACAGCATCAGAGGATCACACATTAAAAATGTGGAATTTGCAGAAAACAGCCCCAGCCAAAAAGTGAGAATATTCTACTTTCACGTTATTTGAATAATTTTTTTAATTAAAAGTTTTTCAGCATAAAAAAACATAGTTTATTATTTGCTAATTAAATTTGCCAAGTATTTCTTCTTCACCATGACACATAATTTAAAGTGTTCTTTGTTTCGTACAGTCTAATGTTAGGTTGGAAAAATAACGATTAGGTAGAAATGGTGTTATCTGATGGTTCCCAGGGTTTGTGATGACAGGCCTTACACATAATAGGGTTTTAGGTGGCTGTCATATTTGGGGAGCCCCTTATCTATACTGAAGATTTCTGCTGTTCTTATAAAATGGTAAAGACATGTTTAAAATCTTCAAACCTCCACTCCCACCCAGCCTTACTCCTTACTAGGTTTGGACTTACGGGATGGAGGAGAGGAAAGGCTGATTGGGAGGGATGGCAGACTTCTTTTTGGGCTTCTCTTTCATTCTTGAGCTTTGGGTATTTTTAATATCCACCACTGTGTCTAGACTGAAGGTGACTGTCTCTTAACTGCTAGTGCTTGCCTTGGCCCCTTCACTGCCATCTAATCATGGACAGACATGACTTAGTGTAAAGCAACCCTTTGATCACATAGTTAGACCTGAGTCACTTGCGTGGGTCCTCAGTGGAGCGCCTCTCCTTCCTTGGACCATGCGATCCACAACCAGCATCTGCCAGCAAAGCCCCTTCTGCAGGGTCAGGCACTTTTGTTATTATAGGAGTAACTGAACATCAAATGGAAAAGGTTACAAATATGTGACTACTTTTGTCCATTTTAAAAGAGATCAGTGGCATTCATACATAGAGTAGATGACAGAAAGTAGACGATTTATCATTCTACATCAGATAGCTTGACCTTACCTTGCTAAAACCAAATGGACCCTCCGATGGATCAGGTGTTCTCAAAAGAGAAAAAGTATTTCCATACATTATACCTTTTGCCTTTCTACTTCTTTGGTCACATTGTGCTTGTTTTCTAGCACAATCACATTAGGCTAGAGATATGAATATCTCAGTATTTTGGGGGGGTGCAAAGACAGTGTTTTGCTCTATCGTCCAGGCTGGAGCGCAGTGTTGCAGTCATAGGTCACTGCAGCCTCAAACTCCTGGACTCAAGCAATCCTCCTACTTCAGCCTCCTGGGTATCTATGAGCTACAGGTTCCACGCCCAGCTAATTTTCTTAATTTTTTATAGAGATGAGGACTCACTATTGTCCAGGCTGATCTCAAATTCATGGCTTTAAGGGATCCTCTGACTTCAACCTCCCAAATTGCTGGGATTACAGGCATGAGCCACCATGCCTGGCCTCATCATATATTCTTGACTAAAATTTAGAAAGATACTGAAACAAGTGTCTTGGTGGTGGTATTAGTAATAATACCTTCAAGTGTAAATTGTGGTCTGTTTACCTTTGAACTTAAAACTTAGAAATGACTTAAGGAAGGGTAACATATGTCTTTAAATAACTGCAATACAATATAGAAAATTGTAAGCACTTGATTTTCAATTCAGTTTTCATCAATAGTCATGACCAGTAGTGGGTAGTATTAGGTAGTATACTGTATCCACAGTGGTATTCTGAGTAAAGAATTAACTGATGACTTGGACAATTACTACAATATCAACAGGCATAACTTTCATGGAAAGGAAAGAAAGTTAAAGTACCACTTGTTGAAAGCCTACTATGTGTGTGGTTTTTTCCTGGGCTGTTTTTTTTTTTTTTAATTGTATAATCTCATTTAGTCCTGTGGTTTTTTGGTGTTTTCCCCGTTTTTTTATTTTATTTTAAACAGAGGAGTCTGAATTCTGAAAGAATAAATAACTTGCCTAAAGTTAGCCAATTAATGACAGAACTGGAAATTGAATTCAGAAATTTAACCCTCAAAGCCCATGTTGTTTCTCTTGAGTGGAGCAGTTTTCCCCTTTAGTCAGATTATGGTAATGCTAAAAGTGCTGTAACAAGGTATTCTTATTAAACAAGGATCGTGTTTCTTGACACCATGAAAGTGTAATGGGTGTTAAGTAACCTTTCTTATGTATCTTGTATTTGAGAATAGTATATTACCATGGTGTTTGTCTTTCTAAAGGCAATTTTAAGGCATATATTGAATTATGCTATTGACTACTGAAACCTAGAGTGATAAAAGTCATCTTCTCTCTGATTTAGGAGTACTTCTCTTGATGTAGAGCCTATCTACACATTCAGAGCCCATAAGTAAGTATGTGCTTTTTCTTTATTTTAAACTAACATAATTATAAAACAACCTGATTAGGCTATTCTGTTTTCTTTCACTTACACATTTGTGTTATGTATTTTTTGTATTCAGTAGTGTTTTTAAAAATGTAAAAGAAACTGTCAGTAATAGAATGCTAAAAACAAATTTATCATTGCTAAATAGGAATCTTGCTTAAATTAGATTTCATTTGCATGATTTTTAAATGAGTATATATATGTCTTAAAGTTGGGGCCATTTGGTTTAAATATTAGAAATCCTGACTTTCTTTTCTTAAAGATAACCCACATAAAAATATTCAAGGACTTTGTTTCCTTTTTTGAGTAGGGGTCTCCCCCACTGTCATCTAGGCTGGAGTGCAGTGACCCGATTACTACTTACCGCAGCCTCGACCTCCCGGGCTAAGGTGATCCTTCTGCCTCTGCCTCCTGAGTAGCTGGGACTACAGGCTCACACCACCACCCTCAGCGAATTTTTTATATTTTTTTGTAGAGAGGAAGTTTCACTATGTTGCCCGGCCTGGTCTTGAATTCCTGGGCTCAAGCAGTCCTCCCGCCTCGGCCTCCCAAAGTTCGAGGCTTTTTTGTTGTGATAAAATATTGCATATTTTTCTCATTTCCATTAAAGCTTAAGTAATGTGTATTTTCTCATGATTTAGCACAGAGATTGACATGCTTTTTTTTTCCTTTTAATAAAGACAGGGTCTCATAATGTTGCCCAGGCTTGTCTTGAACTCCTGGCATCAGGAAATCCCCCTTCACTGGCCTCCCAAAGTGCTGGGATTGCAGGGGTGAGCCACTGCACCTGACTGGCATACTTTTATGTAGAATCATATAGTAAATATCTGACTTTAGGCTTTATAGACCATATACTTTCTGTTGCATATTCTTGTTCTTTGTTTTGTTTTACAACCCTTTAAAAATGTAAAAACTATTCTTAGCTTGAGGATTGTACAGAAACAGACCACTGGTTGGATTTGGCCTGCAGACCACACTAGTTTACCACCCTCAGTTTTTTTTTTTTTGAGTTGGAGTCTCACTCTGTCGCCCAGACTGGAGTGCAGTGGCCGCTCCCGGCCACTGCAGCCTCGACCTG